GTTGGGTCATGCGGGAGGCAGCCACTCGATGTGTCCCTTTCCCGTCGATGTTTCTGTCTCTCTCTCTCTCTCTCCCTCCCACTGAACAAAAAATGAAAAAATGTCTTCGGCTGAGGATAAAAAGAAAAAGACCTTGGTTTTCTTTCAGAGAAGGGCAAACCAAACTAAACCAAATCTTACTGAGCAGTCAGCCTCTGAAGACCCTCTCTCAGTCTTAGCACCTTAGATGGGTAGTGCTGCTGAGACAGGGGTTCAAGGGCAAGACGTGTGTGTGGGAGGTGATCCCAGGCAGCACCAGAAGGGGTGTGAGGAAGGGAAGTCGGGGAGGAAGGCAGCCACAAAGGACAAATTATCAAGCCAGCTACCACTGTGGGCAACTGAGGCGCCATCCCTCTGGGAACCTCTGGAGGGCAGCATAGAGCATGTGTGGTGGGTTGTCCCACCCAGAGGATGTTACCTTCAGTCACTGGTCGTAGGTGGGGATGTTAATTCGGCAGCACTTGGACCTTGCCCCATGCGTGAACAAATGCCTGTATGAAAGAATGTCCTCAGCAGGAAGAGCTGAGGGGTATGTGGTGGAGCAGTGGGCTCTGCTCCTGCCCCACCCCACCATGTTGTCATCTGAAGTCTCCCTATTTCTTTTTGACCTGACCTATAGCCACGTATATACTCAAGCTCAGTTTAAAATGGAACATATGGAGGTACTGGAGCTGCCCCTAACTCTATGCCACTGGCCTGGGGGTCAGGGGACCTAGACGCAAGTTCCAGCTCACTTGCTCGTATGCTGTGTGACTCAGCGCAGGGCAGTATCCCTTTCTGGGCCTCAGTGGCCTCTACTACAGAATCAGGCTTAACAACGCTCAGCCCGCAGACCTTGCAAGGCAGTTGGAGACCAGCCACGGTCACACAACCTTCCTCCCCCTCAACGTAGACACGCTCAGGTGTGCCTACTCCAGGCATAGCGAGATGCACGGACCATTTGTCACCAAGAATATAATAGAATCGTTGTTTGCAAATAACTTTAAAATATGGAACAGAGTCAAGCATGGGTGGTCCTATCATACACGCACGGTACTTATATGAATCCAGTCGTAGCTGTAAAGGGATATGTGAGGCCGGTGACAGACACGTATTTTGTCACATGTCACGGCCCCTGGGACAAGCTGCCCATCCACACTGGTGTCCCACGGGAGGGAGAGCTTGCTGAGTGGAAGTGTGGCATCTCGCTGTCATATTGTACATCACAGGCAACTTAAGGGACATTTTAAGGGCACTTGACTTAAAGGGCACTTTCACCTTCAACTCTGCCTTTGGAATGATAGATACCCCCTTGGGAGAAGAGGCCCGTCCGCATGACGCCATGCTTAGGGTCTTGAGTGCTGGAGCCAGGAGACCCGAGTTCAAATCCTGCCTCTGCTGCTTACCAGCTGCACCATCCTAGAACGTCACCCTCTCTGAGGCTCCTTTTTCTCTTAAGTCAGTGGGGATATTAGTACTGAACTCGCGGGGTTGCAGGGAGGATTCAAGATTTCCTCTGTTATCCTGTTGGGTGTCTCTAATTCTTTTTCTTCAGTGGGCGAGACAGGAGGGGTGACAGGTGGGGTGCCGGGAAGCATTCCTACCAGTCATCACATGTCCTGGGTGACGCACGCGGAAGAAGAGGTGGAGGACCCCTAGGTCACATGGAAGGAAGCCGATCACAGAGCTGAACCGCGTGTGAACGGAGACAGAGGAACCCATGGGCTGGATTCAGCGCACGGCCCAGCCTTCGGGAACCTGGGAGCAGAAGATGCATTTTCCCCGTCAAGTTCCCTGTGTGTCTCCTGGATTTCACCAGCAGGATTCTGCTCAGTGTTTGGAAATATCCCCCTTAAATCAGGCAGGACTTAGGGAGTCCTGTTGAGTCCTTTCACCCCCCCTCCTCACAGACAGACATTGTCAATTCCCTTCGTGGCTTCTCTCCAGCTCTGCGGGGCGACGGAAGGTCACTGCAGGTGGGGTGTGGGAGACCGTTAGAGAGTGGTGGTGGACGCTGAGGGTGCAGGAGAGGGACAGGACATCGCCCACCACGACAGTTCCCGCCTATTTAATTTGCTTTCAACGTCCAGCCCAGGGAGAAGCACGTCTCATTCAGGGCTAATAGCCTTTAATGCCTGTCTTTCTTTTTAACAAAGAGAGCAGACCTCTGGCTCCCTGGTAACTGTATCCAATTAGATTCTAATGATTTCTGGGCTCATGTTGTATCTATTTCTACTTTCTATTTGTGACAAGTGATAATGGGGTTGGTTTGCAAACAGGCCCCTGTCCACAGACGGCAAGAGAGACCCAAGAAAGAGGCAGACCACTCCCAACTGGTCGGTGGCTGGGTTGAAAAGCAAGGGGACATGAGACGTGTCGTGGGCAGCCTCAAGGCGAGCAGGTCTCCCAGCACACTTTGCGGAATCTTAAAAGTTTCTGTAGAAGCCTAAGGAGTTCCGTTTTCAGGCCAGATGGTCTCATCAACCCCTTACGCTCTCAAGGCTGGGTCCTTGGAACGGCTTCGAGTGTGGGGAAGGTGGGCAGGGGCACATTCCAAGGACAGAGGAGGGGGTGGGAAGCCTCCGATTGCCCAGGGCCAACTCATAGGTCAACTGGTGGTCACATTCTGCCAGTGACCTCCTCCAACAAATGGGTTCTCGTTTAAATGAGTGCTATAACATTTCCTTTTACAATGTATTTAAGAAAAAGCCCTGGCTGGTTAGGCTCAGCAGTTAGAGCATTGGCCTGTGGATCAGAGAGTCATGGGTTTGATTCCGGCCAAGGGCATGTACCTCGGTTACGGTGCATCCCTGGCCCTGGTCAGGTTGTGTAGGAGGCAACCAATCAATATGTCTCTCTCACATCGATGTTTCTCCCTCCCCCTGCCCCCACCAATCTATCTAAAGATAAATGGAAAAAATATCCTAGGGTGAGGATTAAAAAAAAGATGAGAAAAAGATAAGAGAGTCCATTTAAAAGAAAAGTGCTCTCTAGGGTCACAGGGATGTGGAAAATTTCCTAAAGGTGGTATTGGAAGGATTGATTTGGAGGAAATAGTTTTCCACTTAGTATGAGTCTGATTTCTGGAGACTTCTCTGGGTCAGTTTCCTCATTTATAAAATGGGAATACTAATACTGCTTTTGGGGACTCTTGTGACAATTTAATGAGGATGAGGATGATGATGATGATGAGACAATTTAATGAGGATGAGGATGATGATGATGATGAGTATTGAGCCTTTTCCACACGTCATGCCAGGAATTCCAACGTGGACTTTCTGACTCCAAAAGCCATAAGCTGAACAAAGATGACATGTTGACTAAGATGGGGTCAAGGCGTGACACCTGTTATCATCACCACCATCACCTTACCATTTTTTAAAGTGGCAGGACTTTTTTAGTAGCCATGTTACCTCTCTGAATATCAGTTTCATCATCTGTAAAAAGAGAATAATCTGTAAAACGGAGGTAGTAAGACGATGTTTTCGTGATGATCAGCATTGAGTCACTGGCGATAGAAGGATCTCAATGAGCAGTGGTGATCTGTGGCCGGGGCCAGAGCCCCCCCCCCCCCCCCACTTTGGGTGGTGTCATAGTCCCATAAAGTCTTTTTCCAAATTTCCTAGTTTGCCTGAAGCCAGGTGGATTCTTCCAGATAGCTGCTTGAAGAATTGGGCCCCCGTGGTCTCTTTCCGATGGACATGAAATCTCCATTGGCAGTTCTTATTTCAAAGACAGAAACACATTTATGGGAAGATAAGATATGGGAGAAATTTATTTAAGGATGGCACTGTTAATTGTTTTAATACATCATTTACTTTTTAAAATTTTGGATTACAAAATTAGTACACAACCACTGTAGAAAATTTGGAAAATACAGAATGCCCCGACCCAGCTGTGATTGTTTATATTTGGAGGTATCTTTTTATTGTTTTTTTACAGCAGTTTGGAGTAATTTACACAGTTGACATCATACCATCAGTTTTCTAGTTTGCTTTTCCCTTAACATTGTAGGCATTGTAGGTGTTGTACAACATCTTTGTTGCTGATCTTTAATGTCCTTACAGTCGTCCATAGAGTAGCTCCCATTGCGTCTTCAACCTCAGTTGGTTACTCCCCTCCCCTCTTCACATTCCAGCCGCCTATCCTCCTTGGCATTTCTCAAACACATGATACTTGTTTGTGCCTCAGGGCCTTTGCACTGTCTCCTTCTACTTCGAGAGTTCTTCCTGGTTCTTTACGTGGCCAGCTCCTTCTTTCCTTTCCTAACCCAATTCAAATATCACATCCTCAGATGAAGTCCTCTCTGACCACCACAGACCCATAGCAACTCCCTTGGTTTGTCTTGATCTCAGCACCCTGTTTTATTTTTTTAAAGAAAAAAATAACTTTATACTTTTATGACCTGAAGTTATCTTGTTATCTGTTTGCTTGCTTATTGTTTCAGCCCCTCATAGACCGTAAGCTCCACCAGGACAGGCACCTTGTCTGTCTTGGTCATCACTGATTTCCCAGTGGCTAACACAGTGCCGGTCACACAGTAGGAGCTCAGTAAATATGCAGTGAATACGTGGATGGCTGGATGGGTGGACTGTGGCCGAGTGGGTGGTTGAATGGAAGGTGGGTAGGTGGGTGGCAGGAGGCGGTGGATGGTGGATGGTTGAATCAGTGATTACGTGGGTAGATGAATCATACTTTTATTGACCATTCCCTAGTTCCACATTTAGAGTGTTCCCGGGATATTTTTAATTGCTTTCAAAAAGTGAACAACGCAAATGGCAAGGAAGGAGCATAAACACGTTTCTTGGGAACTCTGACTCCTTCCCAGGGGCCCTCGCTAGGGACCCAGGCCTGGGCAGTTAACCAGTTTTTGCTAAGAGTAGATGGCCTGGGGGTGGGAGGTGCTGAGAGTCTCCCACGTTCTCCTGGACGCCCCCCTACCCGTGCCCAGGACCTCATACTTCTGTTTGTCCCTCGTGCAGTGGGTCGGAAGCAGTTCATGCGGTTTGAGTGGGCAAACCACGCAGCCGAGGCCCTGGGCTGTGAGTACGAGGAGCTGAACACGGCCACCTTCAAGCACCACCTGCGACAGATCATCGAGCAAGTGACAGCTGGGCGGAGCCGCCGGCCCCTCGAGGAGGAGGAGACCAGCTCAGGTACCGACGTGCGGCCTCTCTGGGTGCGCAGGGTGCCCTGTGGGCCAGCTGCTGAGGACACATCAGCATTCTGCCACCTGCTCATGGGGGACTTAATGAGGGGCTCCTACGTGCAGACCTCCTGGGTGCAGGGAAGGCAGTGAGCGGAAATGGGCGTGGCTCCCACCTGCAGGGTGCCTATGGTCACAGGGTTCTGTCTGAGGGTCACAAAGGCTGCTGAAACCCGGGGCCTGTGCTGTGGAGAGGGGACTCTGTCGGAGCAGAAGGAGGCCAGGAGGCTGGAGTGGTTGGGAGGATAGGAGGAAGTGACTGTAGGGCAGGCGGAGTCAGCTCGCAAACTACTCTGTCACCAGGATTTTACTGTGAGACCGATGAGGAGCCGGGGAGGGCCCGGGCAGGGGAACAAGCCGGGGAACAGCATGCTGTGACCTGTTCGTCATGAAGTACAGCCTGGAGGAAAGCTGGGGAGTGAGGGGGAGAAGGCAGAGCACTTAGGAACCTTGTGACAGTCACCTGGTGCGACGGTGGTGGTTGGACAGCGGAGGGGTGGTGGAGACGGGGCAGGTGACGGTGTTCAAGGCCAAGCTTACGGAGATGACAGCGTAAGCCCTGGGGGTAAGTGAGGGCCCAGGGTGGCTTCTAGGACTTGGGCCTCAGGAATGGAGGTGCTGTGAACTGATGTGGGGGGAGAGCTTTGTACTGTACCTGCTAAAGGGGGGGGGTCTGCTGAGTCCCAAGTCTGCAGCCTCTGCCGGCCAGATGCTTTGGCTGCAGAAGGTGAGGGAGGGCACAGGGACTTCTGGGAGCCCGGGGCTCTCTGAGAGCTCCCTAGAGCAGCTAGCTCTCCTGGAGACCGCAGTCTGGGATTAATGGTCTGGGACTGTGTTGAGTTGTGGTTTGGGGGCCATCTCTTAGAGGCCCCTTAGATCCTGAGAGCTGCTTCACTTTCTGGGGACTTGAGCTTGATGGCTGATGTCACCTGGATTCCACTGGCCTTTCATGTTTTCTTCTCGGTCCAAGTGTGAGCTGTTGCCTACTTATGGTTACACCTGCCATCTGACACTCCCCTCACCCCACATGCACATACCTGTGCACACAGGCACAACACAGCACACACATGTACACAGATACACACTGCAGACACGCACATACCACATGTCCCCAGGTACACACTACATCTACATGTACGTGCACAGACATACACCACACAGATGTGTATGGACTCACGCACAGATATATGCACATATGTGTACAAAGACACTAATACCACACATATCCACACAGGTACTACACACATATGTGTATACCTCACACATTCACAAACATGTTCAAGACACATACCACCTGCATGTACATAGGCACACACCCACAAAAATGTGCACAGGTGCGCTCGCGCACACACACACACACACACACATGCACCAGCTCGGACGTGTGCACACACTGCTTTGGGAGGCTGAGTCAACCTCTCAGGCTGAGGTCTCCAGGGTAGATGTTAAGCAGGCAGGGGACTGGCAGGTTTAGGAGAGATGCGGGGAGGCTGTGGGTTGCCTAGCAACGGCCCAGGTGGGGGGTGAAGTCAAAGGAGGGATGGGAAATGCTTTGGGGCTGCAGAGAGCCATCTGGAATGTACAAGCAGGAGTATTTCTCCAGGCGCCGGTGCATACAACTTTGGAAATTGTGTTTCCAATTCTGTGGGTGGAACCAGAAATCTAAAGGGTCAGGCTTTGTGATCTGACACCCTCCCCTTCGCCCCCACTCCTCACCCCACTTTGTTCTTTGCACTCTAATCGAGGCTGGCTATTTTAATGGGACCAATGAGTCTGCGTGTGCGTGTGTGTGTGTGTGTGTGTGTGTGTGTGAGCTTTTTTATTCCTTCTAATATGATAGATAAGCACTTTTTCACCTCATTCAATATTCTTCTATACTCATTTTAAGCATTCCTTTGTATGGATGGACTACAAATTATCTAATACATTTGCTATTGTTGGATATTTCAGTTGTTTTGAAAACGTGGTTTTTGCCAATTTGATCAACAATTGGGAGAACATTTGTACAAAGAGATCTATGTTTCTCTGAAGATTTTATTAGATTAAAAGCCTAAGAGTGACATTATTAAGTCCAAGGCACATTTATGGCTCCTGATATAAAATTGCGAAACTTCCCTCCAGAAAGAGGGAACAAGCAGCATCCACGGAGTCCCTACTATGTGTCCAGCCCTGGGGATTGGGGCGCCAGCAAGCCAGAGACCGTGCCCACTGCCAGGCACGCCAGCCCGGTGGGGATACAGGCTGATAACAGAAGCACACCTGTAAGGGCGCTGCTGTCAGGGCAGAAGACTAGCGTACGTGTGTCCTTCTGTGTCTGGCTTGGTTCACTGAGCATCACATCCTCGAAATTCCTCCACGTTGTTGCAAATGGCACGTTTGAGTTCACGTACTGCATGATCCCACCTGTATCAGAGATCTGAAAAGTCCAAGTCATGGAGGCGGGGAGTAGAGTGGTGGTTACCAGGGACGGGAGGGGCAGGCACTGCTGATCCGAGGGTGCAGTTTCCCTCCTGCAGAATGAAGATCCTGGAGAGCAGAGCTCCCCGTGGAGGAACGAGATGATCAATGGATGAATGAGTCTACTGGGCAGCATGGTACTTAGAGTTCACAATGCTGTGCTATGCAGTTTAAAACATTTCTTTTAATCCTCACTTGAGGATATTTTTCCATTTATCTTTAGACAGATTAGGAGGGAGGGAGGGAGAGAGAGAGAGGGAAACATCAATGCAAGAGAAACATCGACTAGTTGCCTCCCACGTGACCCCGACCAGGGTCAGGGACGAACCACAACCAAGGTATGAGCCCTTGGCCGGAATCGAACCTGGGTCTCATTGGTCCATCAGCCGACACTCTAACCGCTGAGTCAAACCGGCCAGGGCGCAATTAAAATTTTTATAGGGTAGCCCTGGCCGGTTTGGCTCAGCGGTTAGAGCATCGGCCTGTGGTCCAGAGAGATCCAGGTTTGGTTCCTGCTAAGGGCACGTACCTCGGTTGCAGTTTGTCCCCGGACCTGGTTGGGTTGTGTGGGTGGCAACCACTCGACGTGTCCCTTTCACGTCAATGTTTCTCTCTCTCTCTCTCCCTCCCTCCCTCCCACTCTACCTGAACAAAAAAAAAAAATGGAAAAATGTCCTTGGGTAAGGATTAAAAAAAATTTTTTTTATAGGGTAAATCTTGTATGAACTGTTCTTATCACGTACACACACATACACATACACAGAGGGAGGGGGCTAAAACTTTTGGAGGTGATGGCTATGTTTATGGTGATGTATACTTATTGTCATTCTCATCAGGATATATATAATAAATTGGTAGGTATAGCTTTTTATGGCAATCATACCTCAATAAAAATTTCATTTAAAAAGAGGCAAGGTGGAGCTAGGAATTGGCCTGTCAGGGTGGTGGTCAAGGCAGGCTTCCCGGAGGAGGTGACCTTGGGCTGAGCCCTGAGGGATGCACAGGAGAGCATGTTGGAGAGGAGGTAGGACCAGGTTACGCAGGACCTGGAGGTTCTGATGAGACGCTTGAACTTGGCCCTAAGAACATGGGTGTGTGGTTTCAGCAGGGGGCGTGTTATATGGGAGGGAAGGGGGTTCTCTAAGGCCAGAAGTGATGACTCTGGAGTGATGTTCCGGGCAAGGTCCTGACCCTTTCCTCCTTCCCACTCCAGGGCTCAAGATGACGGGCGCGGAGTGTGTGGAGGGCATGGCCTCGGGCCTGTACCAAGAGCTCTTTGCCGCTGTGGTTTCCCTCGTCAACAGGTAAGCGCAGCCACCGCTGGGCACAAGGTCAGCTTCTTTGCAGGTGCACGCGGCCCACGCATGCGCGGTAGCAGAGGAGGGCTTCTGAGCGGGAGAGCTGATGTTCTCGTGGCACGGCGCCAGGCTGGAACTCCTCCCGGCCACCCGCGGGCTGTGTGATGTTGGCAGATCAGTCCACCTCTCTGAGCTCCCCTTCTGCATTTGCAAAGTAGCTCTCTCCCCAGGGTCCCTGTGCCGATTCAGAGAAATACAGAAATTAAATAACTCTTCCTAATCATGATCCTAAAGGCCAACAATAAAAGCTAACGACTTGGGGGGCACCCACTAAGGGCCAGGGCCGGCACTAATAGTTTAACTCGCCTGCATCATGTAACATTCGGAACAGCCCATTGCACAGATGTGATAACTAAGACAGAGAGGTGGAGCTGGGGTGCACACGCAATGCTGTACATCCCCCTCGTACCTTCACGGGTCCCCGAATAACCCACCACAATGCTCCCATCCATTTATTTTTGTAAGATGTTCTGCTGGGAAGGGAAGGACCAGGGCCGGGTTTTGAGTGGGCCAGGATCCGTCTCTGAAATGTCTGCGGCTGCAGGCATCGGAACCTCCTTTCTGTCGTGATGAGCCAGCCCCCAGGCCGCCCTGGGAAATCCGGAAGCAATTCATTCCGGTTGGGAGGATCCAGAAGCCAGGCAAGCCCCGCCCCCTCTCTGAAGCAGGAGGCTCGATCAGACTCTGCCTTCCTGTTCGGGGGCTGGGCTGGCGGTAGCCACAGAGCAGCGGGTTCCCCAAGGCGCCAGGACACGGAACCCGCTCCCTGGCTTGCTCCTGGAAGAATTACCATTTGAGACCACGTGATACAGAAACCAAGGGACTGTGCTCGCTTAGAGCAAGGAGTCCTGGGGGCGGAAAATGAACTACTGCCCTGGCCCGTTTGGCCCAGTGTTTAGAGTGTTGGCTCATGGAACAAAGGGTTGCTGGTTCGACTCCCAGTCCAGGGTACGTACCTGGGTTGCAGGTTTGATCCCTGGTTAGATTTGGCCCTGGTTAGGGTTGTGCTGGAGGCAACCAATGGATGTGTCTCTCTCACATCTCTCTCTTTCTCACACCTCTCTCTCTCTCTCTCTCTCTCTCTCTCTCTCTCTCTCTCTCCCCCTTCCTCCTTCCCTCCCACTCTATCTAAAAAGCAGTGGAAAAATATGCTCAGGTGAGGGAGAAAATGATTTAAGAAATAAAGCAAATGAACTGCAGTCGGAGGAAACCGCCGCAGCCCATGGAGGACTGTGGCTTCATGGTTTTGTTCTTGGAGCCACAGCCATACAATGGGTGCATGGATGGGTGATTGGTGATAACAATACCTACAGCCCCCATTTATCAGCACCTCAGGTTAACTGACTCAATCTGTACCATCTCCTGTGGTGGCCGATCTCTGTGGCCCCCTTATGTAGATGGAAAACCTCGGCAAGGGACAGGGAAGAGCTAGGGTTCAAACGCAGGGCCCTTCAAAGGATGTGCTGGCCCTGCTATGATGGTAGCGGGTAGCCTTCATCCAGCTCTTACCAGGGCTGACCTCCTGTTCAGAGCTGTCCCGTCACCCCTCCCCCACAGCTCTCTGAGTTCAGCTCCATCATTAACTCTTTCATGGCTGGCTCAGAGAGGCCGGGCAACTTCCCCAAGACACAGGGCCCCTCAGTCGCAGAACGAGGGTTGGGGCCCACAGGTGACTGTCTCCTGAGTCCCTTAGCTCCTGCATTTTGATGTAAATCACACCTCCTCTGTCCACCCTGACAGATTCGTCAAGAGGATCCAAGGAGGTGATGGCATAAAGGAACTTTGTAAACTGAGGCACTGAACAAAACTGTTTTTCTATTGCCATGTGTCACTGAGAAAGAGAAGGAGGCTCTAGTCTTAACTTTGTAGCCACTGCACCATGTGGCCTGAAGCAAATCACTTCTCCACTTGGCCTGGTGGGGAGAACCTTTCCCGAAGGCCCGATGTATCCAGGCGGGGCCCCTGCCCAACCTGAACTCCTTTGATTGAAGCCATCCTACCATCACGTAATGCTGGGGAAACCCATGCTCAGAGAGGTTAATGAGTGTGCCCCAGGTCACACAACCTGTAAGTGGCGAGCCTGGTTTTTTTTATTTTTTTTTATCCTCACCCGAGGACATTTTTCCATTCTTTGTTCAGGTAGAGTGGGAGGGAGAGAGAGGAAGAGAGAGAAACATCGATGTGAAAGGGACACATTGAGTGGCTGCCACCCACACAACCCAACCAGGGCCGGGGACAAACTACAACCGAGGTACGTGCCCTTAGCGGGAACCGAACCCGGGTCTCTCTGGACCGCAGGCCGACGCTCTAACCGCTGAGCCAAACCGGCCAGGGCACGAGCCTGGTTTTGAAAATAGAGCTGCTGGATTTCCAAACCCACCCCGCCCGCTGCCTCAGCCTCTCCGTCCCTGTGGGGTGGGAGCAGGAGGCTTGGATCACTGGGCTCTAAGACGCCACGTCGCCTTGGGGCCTCCCCGCTCTCTCCCCAGATCCTTCTCCTCCCATCACCTCTCCATGGCCTCCATCATGGTGGTGGACGCGCCGGGCTTCCAGAACCCCCGGCACCAGGGCAGGGAGCGGGCGGCCACCTTCGAGGAGCTGTGCCACAACTACACCCAGGAGCGCTTGCAGCTGCTTTTCTACCGGCGCACCTTCGTCTCCACGCTGCAGCGGCTCCAGGAGGTACGCCGGCCGCAGGGGCCTCGCCGGGCGCAGGGCCGGTGTGAGGCTGGGCGGGGTGCTGCGCTGGTCCCTGGGAACCTCGGCTTCGTCCTGTTCGCTGATCGCTGAACAAAACCCAACTCCAGGCCAGGCTCCCAGGCCTCTGCCGCTCCCCCGTCTCCCTCTGCTCCCCAGCCTCCATCCATGGCCCCCTGCACCCTAAAGTCCAGAAACACCGAGGAAGCAGCACCTGCTAATGGCAAAATGTTGGAAATGACCATATTATTTTTCAGTAGATAATGGGTATTAAAATTATGGTCATGTTTTTGGTTGGAGCCCACACAGCAATAAATATAAAAGCATTAACATGGATAAACCTCAAAGGAAAGAACACTGAGAGACCTGGGTTCTGACTCTAACTCTGTCACTTACTGGCTGTGTGGCTTTAGGAAAGTCACTCACCCTCTCTGATCCTTGATTTTTTTCACATGGAAACTAGAAACACTACGTCTGTATCAGTTGCGGTTTGCCATAATAACAGGACCCAGTAAACTCCCTGAAAACATCGTGGCTTTAAATTAACCCCTTGTCATTGCTCACAAGTCCCTGGGCTGCCTGGGCAGCTCTTCTGGTCTTGGCTGGAAGAGTTCTTGTACCTGTGGTCACATGCTGGTCTGGAAGGTGGCTCTGACGGTCTTGGCAGGCTCTTTCCCGGAAGGAGGGAGAGGGACAGAGAAGCATCGATGTGAGAGAGACACATTGACTGGTTGCCTCCCGCACAACCTTGACCAGGGCCAGGGACAACCACAACCGAGGTACATGCCCTAGACCGGAATCGGACCTGTGACTCTTTGGTCTGTGGGCCGACGCTCTAACCACTGTGCCAAACCGGCCAGGGCAAATGGTTATTAGTTTAAAAACCAGAAAGTAAGAAGGATAAATGAGGAGGTAGAGAAATTGGTGCTACTGGTGCGCATATAAAATGGTGTGGCCACTACGGAAAACAGTATGGTGTTTTCTCAAAAAATCCGAAATAGAATTACTGCATTGTACAGCAATTGTACTTCTGGGTGACCACCCAAATGGACGGACAGCGGGTCTTGGAGAGGGCTTTGAACGCCTGTGGTCATCGCCGTGTTCACAGCGGCCAAGAGGCGGGAGCAGCCCACATGTTGCCGGTGACACCCCCATAAACAGGTGCGGTCTGTCTGTGCAGTGGGCTGTAGTTCAACCACACAAGTTAAAGACACTCCGACCCAGGCTACAGCATGCCGAGCCTTGAGGGCATTATGCTAAGTGCCGTAAGCTGGGCACAAAGGGACGAATACTGTATATTCCACTCCTATGACGTCCTCCGAGGAGGAAGTTCGGAACGACACAGAAGCGTGGTAGTTGCCAGAGGTTGGGGGGAGGACGGAGACCGGGAGTTATTGTGTTTCGGGAACAGAATTGTATTTTTGCGAGATGAAGAGAGTTCCTGAGATGGATGGTGAATGTATTTAATGCCACTGAACCCTACACTTAATACTGATCCAAATGAGCTCTGGCATGTTTGGCTCAGCGGTTAGAGCATCAGCCTGCGGTCCAGAGAGACCCGGGTTCGGTTCCCGCTAAGGGCACATACCTCAGTTGCAGTTTGGCCCTGGCCCTGGTTGGTCGTGAGGGTGGCAGCCACTCGATGTGTCCCTTTCACACCAATGTTTCTCTCTGTCTTCCTCTTTCTCCCTCCCACTCTATCTGAACAAAAAATGTAAAAAAATGTCCTCGGGTGAGGATAAAAAAAATAAAATCCAAATGGTAAATTTTGTGGTACGTATATTTTACCACAATTAAAAAGTAACTTGGAGAAAGGCGAAGGGGTGAGGTAAGTCCTCACTTCTCTCACCTGTTCCAGAGACCTCTGTCTGTTCGGCCCATGGGTGGCGCTAACGTTGGGTTTCTGTGACTTTCCAGGAAGGCCTCCCTGTGCAGTTTGACCTCCCAGAGCCGTCCCCGGGGCCCACGGTGGCTGTCGTGGATCAGAATCCCTCCCAGGTAACACGGGGCCCAGCAAACCCCGAGGGGCTCTTCAAGGGAAATACGTGCAGATTTGAGCCTTTAAGCTACTAGCCACGGATGCTCCCTGCGCCCCGAATCACCCAGCGGTTGTTAAACCACCAACGCCTGGGACGCGCCCCAGATTCTGTGTTGATCTGGGGTGTGGCCTGGGCAACGAATAGTTAATTCCCCTTGGGGTGGGACCTACCTCTGTTTTATGTCTGAGTTGCTGTCTTAGAAGACACTCATACCTGGGAGCCCGTGGTCAGAGCCAAGGGGATTGAGGACCAGTGCCCAGTGCCCAGTGGCCTCCAGCCATGTTCTCCTGGAAGGATCAGGTGTTCAGACCAAGGTGCTGTGCCCAGCAGGGACCGGGAGATTAGGGAGCACAGGGGGAACCTCGGATCCAGGCACCTGGCCACCCTCGGGGGAAGCCAGTCTTTAGTGTGGGGGCTACCTAAAGCTTCACCTCACTTTTCCACCCCGAGAACCCTCTTTGCTGACCCCAGACTTACTGCTCTGCTCAACCTTTGGCCGGAACTGCCCTGGACCTTTGCAGTTGGCTTACCAGATCAGGTCCAGTCCTGGTGACCTTGAGCATGTCATTTCACCCCTCAGTTTTGCCATCACCACAACGGGAACACCTTTTCCCCGGGGCTGTCATGGACGTCAGTGAGTTCATAACGCACCTGGCGGGGTGCTTGGCACGGGGGTGTCCTGCAGGTTGTATTTCGCCTGCCCTTCGAGAGCACCGCTGCCCTTCCCCACACTCCTGTGTCCAACCAGGCAGGGTGGCTTCTCCTGGCTCACACTGGGCTGCACCTGTCCCAGCAAGGCCCCCTTGTTTGTGGGCCCTGCCAGCCATTCACCTGCTTTTACATCTTGCGGGCACCTCTCTGGCTGGTTCCACCTGCCGGTCCCAAAGGAATGACCAAGGCAGCCAGGAGGGAAGGGCCACGGTGTCCCCAGAGTCTCAGGCAGTGGCTGGGAATGGATGCCTCCTGAGCATGGGCTGGCTGTCGATTTCGACCCCAGGAAAGGACAGGTGAGGGACAGGATGCCTGGGATCCAGTTGTAGTTCTGCCCCTGTGTCTCTCCATGTGACCCTGGCATCCCTTCTCTGTGGGCCCCTGAGGAGTGTGAACCAATATTTCTGAGTTAGGGTGGCCAGTGGTCCTGATATGCCAAGGACTTTGCTGGCATTGGCACTGAAATTCTCATGTCCTGGGAAGCCTCTCAGTCCCTGCCACCAAGGGACAGTGGGTCACCGTACATCACATTTCCTCCCTAACCACCTAGCCCCGCTATTGATCATGCAGACTCATCACGGCCCTCGGATAAGCTCCTCCCCTCCAGGCTCTCTGTTCACCGTGTGCGAAAGGACAGCATCGCCTAGATGATTTCTGAACCTCTGGGCTGGATTTACAAGTCCATGTCTGTGCTATTGAACCAAGTTCACCTTCTCCTATGAAACACCATTTGGACATTTTTATTTTTTCCCTTCAAGATTTTAGTTTAAAAAAGTAGAAAGACTGTGAAGAGGAAGTGATGAGGATGGAATAAGTTGTATCATGGTGGGCGTGCACAAACACACACACGTGTGTGTGCAGAAATGTGTCGTTTACACGGCACTTTCCTGGGTGAGATCCTTGCACAGCTCTCTGAGGAAGGTACTGCCAGCCTCCGCTTTACATGACACGAAACGAGACTCAGAGAGGTGTGGCGAGTTGCCCAAAGTCACACAGGAAGTGAGGACAGAGGGAGGATTCGGACTTTCTTGGAACTCAGAGGTTTTTATAGTTTTGCTGTTTCTACACTGAGAGTCTTGGGTGAACGGGAGCGTGGATCCAGGCTGGTACCTTTGCGTCGTGATGCCTGGGACTCAGATCCCCTGACTCCTCGAGGTGAAGCCCAGGACTGGCATCTGGGGGGGGATCAGGGCTCCTCAGTGTATCGTGGGTCTCCCGCCAGGTCCGCCTACCACCTGGAGGAGGTGCTGTGGATGCCAAGGGCCTTTTCTGGGTCCTGGACGAGGAGGTCCGGGTGGAGGGCTCTAGTGACAGCACGGTGCTTGAGCGTCTCTGTGCAGCCTTCGAGAAGAAAGGAGCCGGGACTGAAGGTAAGGAAGTCAGAAGGAGAAGGCGGTGAGTCCAGCCTGGGAGTTGGAACCTGTCCTTGTCAGCTGCAGAAAAGCCCTGATAAGGCCTGCAGAGGGCGGGGCCTGAGTGCAGAAATGTCTGTCTGTGTGTGCTTGTGTGTGTTTTCGTTCATTCATGTGTTCATTCATTTATGTAGCCAACAAATGCATTGAGCAGCTACTGTGTGCTGGGCCCTCTGCTATATAGTGGGGAACCAGCCTCGGGTGGCTCATAATTTCGGTTGAGGTCACTAAGGGAATGAGGGTTGGCAGAGAAGACGGTTGAGGATTCAGCCCTGCGATGTCCCAGTGTCAAGGGGCCAGGGACAAGGTAGGCGATCAGCAAAGGAGACCGAGGAGGAGTGGCCATGGAGGTGGGAGGGAAGCCAGGGGAAGGTGAACCGACCCAACTAAATGCTGCTGGGAGGTCCAGTGTGGGGTGGCCGACAATGGCCACGTGGAGGTCACTGGCGACAGAGATGAGTAATTTCAATGAAGCATTCGGGGTGAGTGTCTGATGGCAGTGGTTTGTGAGAATTGGGAGAAGAGCTGGGGAAAGACATAGGACAGTTGTCAGTGCTGCTGTCCACTGGGCTCAGGCCGGCGGGGCCTCCACCCCAGGGGGCCCAGCCGAGCTCCTGTCCCGGACATTCATGGAGCAGCTCGTTCCCATCTCAGGACAGGGTTTGCAAGCAGCAGCAGCTGAGGGACCCAGCTGTCCTTGGACCAGGCTCAGAGCACTAACACCCAGCTTCTTCCCAGAGAGCTGGGCTCCCAGAGGGCCTGGCCCGAGCCACCTTCCCTGCCAGGCGCAGGGTGGGCAGCACCTGGGGCCTGCGGGGCTTTTAGGGCCCATGAAAATGTCATTTCTGTTCAAAGCAGAAGGAAAAACAGAACTTTTAGGTCAAATGCAATGTTTTAATCTATATATGTTACGGGTTGAATGGTATCGTCCCCCCAGATTTACATGTCGATGTCCTCAGAATGTGACTATATAGAGAGCCAGGGTCTTTAAAGAGGTCGCTGAGTTTAGCTGAGGTCACAGGGGTGGGGCTTAATTGAGTGTGACTGGTGCCCTTTTGGGAAAAGATGAGGTCATAGACACCCACCGGAGGAAGACACAGAGAGAAGGTGGCCCTCTGCAAGCCAAGGAGACAGTGAAATCAAACCTGCTGCCACCTGACCTTGGGCTCCCAGCCTTCATAGCTGAGAACTTACGTGTCTGTCGGTCAGGCCGTGGTCCTTCATCCTGACGGCCCTAGGGAACAAGTACCGTGCACGCGTGTGTGATTAATATTGACCCTCACTGCAACCTGGTCATGACATAGAGTTATATTTATATATAACTATGTGTATATAATTATATAATTTATAAAATTTAATAATTTTTTTTATTATTTTTATTTTTTATTTTTTTTATCCTCATCCGAGGACATTTTTTCCATTTTTTTTGTTCAGGTAGAGCGGGAGGGAGAGAGAGGAAGAGAGAGAGAGAGAAACATCGATGTGAAAGGGACACATCGAGTGGCTGCCACCCGCACGACCAACCAGGGCCGGGGACAAACTGCAACCGAGGTACGTGCCCTTAGCGGGAACCGAACCCGGGTCTCTTGGGACCGCAGGCCGACGCTCTAACCGCTGAGCCAAAATTTAATAATTTTTAAATTATTAAAAATAATATAAGTATCAGGGGCCTGCCCGACTGCCTTGCGTAGAACAGTAAGCCCTACCCACCTGCACCCCGTTTAAGTTATTTAAGATGTAACTAGTGTTTTAAATGGAGGAAGGGCCCATGAAAGCAAAAGTCCCGAGCGCCCACCAAAGTCACAGGGCGACCCTGACTGCCCTCACCTGGGGGTCCCTGTGCTCGACTGGACCCTGGCAACCATCACCTCTGCTCTTTGAAGGTCCCCTCTGTTCTCTGAAGTCCGTCTGTCCCTTTGCCAGCGGTGAACGGGTGGCAGGGCAGAGGAATCTGCTGTCTGTGGAGCCCTGGTCAAGCCAGGCTTGGGGGCTCCTCTCCGCCGCACCTGCAGCGGGTGCCCGCAGCCTCGGGGAGACCCCGTGGTCTACTGGACCCAGCAGGTGCCCCGGACAGAGCTGGTGCTGCACCCAGCGGCCTTGCCCCGAAGGCCAGCCAGAGCCGCGACGCCTGTCCAGGCTGTGAACGTCGCCCCCTCTCCAGGGAACGGCTCCAGGGCTCAGGGGTGGTCTTTCGGGGTGTGGTGGGTGGAGGAGGAAGCACACCCAGAGGCGGAGGGAGCCAGGAGGCAGAGCTGTTAGAAGCTCACCCAGGCTTCAGTCCGCAGCGACCCGGGGGGGGGCCTGCTCCGTGACTCAGTCGCAGTGTGTGTGGCTTCCGGGAAGTCACCTCCAGGGGGCTGGTGTGAGGACGGAGAGCTCATGTGTGCCTTTGCAAGCAGCTTTGCTCCGTCCTCCTCCTCCAGCTCGCTGCTCAGAGCCGCCCGAGCCCTGTGTGAAGCTGTCCTCTCTGGTTCTGTCCTGTCACAGTGCTCGGTTATGTCCTTCAGGGCTCTGCCCAGGCTCGGGGATGCTTGGTTATGTATCGACTGACGTCTCGTGGTCCCCTGCCCTCCCTGTGAGACCCCAGGGTGCAGGACGCATGCCAGTCTGTTCTCTGCTGACGCCCTCGTGCGGGACCTAGCGAGGCCTCGGTGGAACCTGCCATGTCCCCTCCCCCGTCCTTGCTTGCTCTGTTCCAATCACACCACTCTCTCGGCTGCTCCTTCAACATTCCCACCTCAGGGTCCTCGCTTTGGCTGGTTCTGCTCCCTAGGATGCTCTCCATCACATTTCAGCATGACCCTGTCCCTCACCTCCTGCGGGTCTCAGGGGCCTGCCCGACTCCTTGTGTAGAACGATAAGCCCTACCCACCCGCACCCGCCTGTCCATCTTCCCCTGCTCCGCGGTAGCCGTCACCAGGGACATCAGGACTTGTCCTCACGGGAATGCCAGCCCCAGGAGGGCAGGGGCTGGGCTGGTTACCCCTGTTTTCACAGTAACGTGAGCAGCGCCGGCACGGTGCGGGGGGCAGTGACTCCTGGTTCAGACGAGATGCTGATGCCAAAACCCAATTGTCCAGAAAGACAATGTTTTCTGGATCTTGGCTTTTGGACAAAAAGATGGAAAGCAGGGTCAGAAGCAGAAAGCGTCCTGCGGGGCGTGGCTGGGACAGGAGGGGACTCGCTAGATCTGTGGCCCCTGTCCTTGTCCTGGAAGCCCGGTGGCGGTGCCCATCCCAGGCACCCCGCAGGGGGCTCTCAGTCCCCAGGGGAGAGACTGTTCCTTCTCGTCTTGGACCAGCTGCAACAGACACAGTAACGCAGGCATTTTGTTTAAAAAAACAACCACCTTTGCCTCTAGGGCCTGCTGCTGAGCTCCTGTTAATGAGAGCTGTCAAACAAGCAGAACAGGCCGGCTTTGGGCCCACCCAGTGCTCAGGGTCTATCGCTTCTCACCTGAGGTGCGTTTGCTGGGCAGTGGGCCCAGGGTGGGGCTGGGGACAGCCCTCATGGACCCTGGGCCCAGGGCACAGTCGGGCGACAGGTATCACATCACAGCCATAGGGTGGATGTAGGGAGCAGAGGGGCGAGGAGAAGCCCTCCCCCAGTCTGGGGCTGGTCCGGCTCCCAGGGAGCTGACGATGTGAAGATGGAGACAGGTGCAGGGCCAGGCTCCAGTGCAGGCATCTCCAGGGACTCCCGAGAGCCAAGGCTGCCCTTGGCGGAACAAGACTGCGGCGTGACACCAGCTTCCGGGAGGAAGGGGAGGGGGAGGGCGCAAGGAGGCCCAGATCCCCAGTGTGGTTTTCCAGATGGTTCCTAAGGAACATGTCACTGGGCCCCCCCGGGCAGAGACGGGCTCTGCGGCTGCCAGACCCGCACCCTCGTCCTGTGCGCTTGCGCCGCGCCACCTTAGCCACACCGTCCCAACTCTGAACCTCGCCGTCACTTCCAGAAACAGCCCAGCGACACTCGCATCACGGACCAGAGTGGGGACTGGAGGGCATCACGGGTGGCCGCATGTTTAGCAGAAGCCGGCTGGGGCTCAGCAAACACAAATGTCCTCTCTGCTCTCTTGCCCTGGTCCCCTCCCCACCAAATGCTGTTGGGGTCCTCATCGAGTCCAGCTCTGGGCTCTGCTGGGCAGGAGGGAGAATGGACACTGCCCCTGCCCTCAAGTCGCTCCCGTCCAGTGCAGACCCTGTAGCGTGTCCAGGGATGCAGACATGGGGCCAGAGCTGGGCTGCACTTCGTCACCTTGCTTTGTCTCCCACTGCAAGGTGACTGCTGAGGGCAGGGACCACACTGCTCCCAAGGGCTCAGGGGAAGCTCTTGATGCAACAATGTGTCACTTCACTAGAAACATTCTTTGCTGTTAACTTCAACTATCCAGAACGTGGGAGGGGGGAGCACAAGGGACCTCCAACGAGCCAAGCAGATGGCAGAATCCATGCCCCTCCCCCACCAGGCTCGCAGGCTGCACTTAATTTTGTACAGAATTCCAACAAATACAGATCCCTTGTTTTCTAGATCTCTGCAATATTGAGGTGACAAGTCAGGATTTGGGGGAGGGTCTCCAGACCCTGATATGTGTTGGCATCCGTTGATCATGGCGGGATGGGAAACGCAGAAAGATCATTCAGGATAGATATAAGCATTGAAACAATGTTATAGCTCCTGATAATAACTGGTCTGGGGTCATTACTCACCCTGAGAGTATCATTACAATTAGAGTGATAGATTAATGACCAGAAATTAATTCGTTCGTTCATTTGTTCGTTCGCTTATTCATTCCACAAGTGCACCCAGACTCCCTTCTTGTGCGGGCATGATGCCAAGCACTGGGCATGTGGAGATAAACCCACTGTGACTCCAGACCACCAGCGAAAGGTTCAGTGCAGGAAATGCTAGTGACACCCACCACTGCTCACCGAGTGACCACCATGTGCCAGGCACTTGTGTGTTATAGTACTTTACACCTGTTGTCTCCGTTGAGCCTTACGTACCCTGGTAGCCATGTTTCACAGGAGAAGAGATAGAGGCTGAGATTTTAGTGGCTCGGCCCCCGTCACACAGTAGTAAGTGGCAGAGTCAGGACTTGAACTCAGGTCTTCTCCAACTCCCAGCCCACTGTTTCCGCCTCTCAGTCTCTTACAGTGACGTCTGCCAGCACCTCCCAGAAGTAGGCTGTGCCTTTATTTGCTTGTTGGTATTCAAGACGATTTGAGGTGGCACACAAATATTTTCAAAATGTTTAATAATTATGTATTTCTTTTCATGCATATTAAAACATAGAGTTTGACGCCAAACCCGCAATATAATGCTTTTTTATAAATGGGTTTGTCTGTAAAAATGTGAGTCGGGTTAAGGGAAACATTAATAACAGCCCAGATGATACATAGGCATGGAAAAAAGTCATGAAGAGCGTACCGCTGATGGTGTTTGGGGAAAGCAGGCATTCAGGAGTAAGGCGTGTAAGGAGGAGGAAGGTCCATGTTGGAAATAGTGCTGACAGATGCACAAGGCAGGAGACATGTGGGTCCCCGGAACTACCCAGACACCTAGTAAAATGGAGAAAGTGTGTTCTCAGGGATGCCGAGTGATTGCACCATCCCCGCTGGGCCCAGCACTCAGGCGCTGTCTGCTTTCAGGCACCTCTGCCCTCCGGCCCTGTGAACAGCCCCTCCAGTGTGAGATCGCCCACCAGCGAGGACAGGACCCCGTGCGCTACGACCTCACCGGCTGGCTGCACAGGGCCAAGCCCAACCTCTCCGCCCTGGACGCCGCCCAGGTCCTGCAGCACTCGAAAAGGTGAGTCTGGCCAGGGCTGGGGACAGGTCAGGGCCCCCGGAGGCGCTGCGGTTCCTTCCCTGCCAGGGCCGTGCAGCCGTAATGACCCAGCGAGAGCCAGGGCTGATCCGGAACCGTCCCCAGTGACACGAGAAACCGTAACTCAGATCGGAGCAGTACGATGTGTCCCCGGGGCCTGAGCGAGTTCAGCCGAGGCGAAGAGGAACAAAAGCTCAGAAGCGGTGACTTCTCATTTTGGCGTTTTGCCTTTCATTAAGTGTCTGAGCGACGATGTGACTGGAACAACTTTTATGGACATCTGTGAACTAGGGGGTCGTAAAACCGAAGTGATAATGTTTTGTGGCATTAAAAAGGAAGCTCCCTGCCTTCCCTGCTGGCTCTGTTCAGAAGGGCTGGCGGAGGCTGGCAGTCGTCACACCGCCTTGGTTCAGAGTCCCTGGGAAATGTCTGTGCGGAGCACGTGGGCGCACAGGTGCCTCCCAAGTCCAGTGCTGGAACCCTGCGGGGGCAGAGCTTGGAGACAGGAAGAGAAGCTGAGGCCACCAGGGAGGTGCTGGGGGTGTGCGGGCAGGCGAGGGGCCTTCACTGACCACTCACTCTGTGCCAGGCATCAGGACAAGCACTTCCTACGTATCTTATAAATCCTTACAGCAGCTCTGTATCCTTAGCCCCATTTTACAGATGATGTAACTGAGGCCCCAGGAACTGAAATGGCTCACTTCTGATCACACAGCCAAATGGTGGCAGAGCCGACATACGGCTTGGCTACGTGGTCCTTGGAGCAGTGTTCAGGACGTATGGCCGGAGTTGACTAGAGACCCGTGTGCAGAAGGCTCAGGCCACACAGACCCAGAAAACGATCCAGCGGGGGATGGGCCGTAGGAAGGTTAGCAAGCACCCAGAGGACTGTGTGAGGAAAGCCACACAGTCCGAGCCCTGGCCCTTATCACCTGGGTGACTGTGAGCACTGTCCCGCCCCTGGGTGTTCTGTCGGTTTGTTTTGCTCTCTGCACCATGAGATGCGCATGTTGGACAAGACTCCGAGACCCGGGGGATGCTGCACAGCTCTGCCCTGACGGCCTGTCCGGGGGCCCGGCTCTCACCCCGGCCCTCGGCACACAGCTCGTGTCGCGTGAATTCCCGTCCTGCTCGGGGTCCCGTGGCTCAGGCGGGTGAGGGGTGTGGGGCTAGGAAAGGGTGAGGCAGACCTCTGCGGGCCAGATGGGCTGGCGAGCACGGGGCGTTCTGGGGGAAGGAACGGCGTGTGCGAGCCGCAGCTCAGGGGGGACGAGCAGGGCCAGGCGGGAGCCGGTCCCACTGGGAGTTCCGCCCGCTTGGGAGCCGAGCAGTGATTTCCGAGAGCAAGCGCTGCTTTTCCGCCGCACGTTCGCAGCCGAGCGCGGCAGACTCGGGCCTGCTCGCTGAGCATTCTGACTCCTGAGCCGCCCAGTCTCTCCGGCGTGGTCTCGCGGACTCGCTGTTGACCAGGTCCCAGGACGTCCTCGGCCACTCTCAAGTGGTGGACAAACACTTCTACCTTCTGTACTAGAACCCGAAGCCCAAAAAGGACACGTGACTCGCCCAAGGTCACAGAGTAAATTGAAGGCCAGAGGTCGGGTCTCCCAACCCCTGGGACAGTCCCTGCGAAGGGATCTGGACGATGGGTGCACGTCCTCTCCCTGCAGCAGGGTGTGCTTCTCATGTGCCCGGGGCCCTGCCCTGTCCCCTCAGGGCTCCTGCTTCTAGGGGCTCCCCTGGCACTCTCCCTAGATTTTTATTTCAAGGAGAGTATATTCGAGCCATTGTTAGTCTTCTGCTGGGTCAGGCACTTGACCACTTTAAGCAGCTTTGGGGCCTTTGAGACACATTTGCTCCATGGTTCGTGAAGTTGGCTTAGGCGCAGAGGGAGGTGGAGAGCAGGTCTCCCTCCCCGGCCTGGGGCTGGGGGTGGCCTGGGCTGGGAGCTAAGGAAGATGCCAGCAGCTTCTGGTGGAGGGGTGGGGCCGGCGGGACCTGAGAGGCACGGGGCTTCCTCTGGGTCCCAGCACCATCGTTGGGCACAGCAGGGTCTGCCCAGCCTTCTCGATCCTCCTCTCCCCACAGAAGCAGGCAGGCCAGCTCAGGTTGATCCGAGCAGACCCGTAAGGGGCCCTGGCCTTTGCCTACGACCTCGGAACCTGTGCAGCACGGGAGGGCCCAGGGAAGGCACTGACCACCACTCGGCGGCAGGCTGGACTTTTCATTGACGGGCCCCGAAACGTTCTGTCCAGCCTTGAGCCCTCGCCTCGTGCGGGAGACACAGAGAACACCTCCTCTGTGCTGCACTCGCTCTGGGGACCACAGAGAGGCTTCTGCCCTCTGAGACTTCCCGCAGGCATGTAAGTGACAGGAACACCCAGTAGCAGGAGAGATGCTCTCAGGTCGGGGAGGAGAGGGGCATAGAGGACGGAGCTGGCATTTGTCACGAGGCAAAGACTCGTCGGGCAGAAAAGGACAGTAGCCAGCGTGTGGGCTTTGCCGAGAGGGTTCAGGACGAGATCAGCAGGACGCAAGGCGGACCGTTTTCCGGGGAAGCCCTAAAGGCCCTCTCTCCCCTCGTCCCTGCCAGGGCGGAGCTGAGGAGCCTGTTCCAGGCCCGGGCCAAGCTGGCCCCCGTGTGCCGTGCCCTGGCAGGCCTGGAGGGCACCTCCCAGCAGGCGCTGCAGAGGAACTGCGTGCTGAGGAGGGCCTTTGCCAGCAGCTTTGCCGCGGCGAAGAGGAGAGCCCCGTGCTCCCAGGTCAAGCTGCAGATGGTGAGTGGGTGCCCTGTCCCCTCCTCTGGGACGGGGGTCTACCTCCAGCAGCCCTGAGCTCCCAGGGACCCTGAAGGAGCGGGCAGTGCCCTGAGCTCCACAGAGGAGGAGAAGGGGATTCAGAGCAGCAGAGAAACAGCCACAGGCCCACCGCTGGGAGGTGACGGGCCACGTCTGAGGTCAGAGCCTCGGCTGCTTGGTGTTGACCTGAGTGGCTTCAGGAAGTTTGCCGGAACCTCGGTTGTCCTCGTGACCAAGGTGGCGAATGTCGCAGCCAGACGGATGCCTGCCTTCCTCCTCTCCCAGAGGCCTACGTTCTCGCCACCGGCTTTCCATGGGAGGAGGCAGCGGCCGCAGCGCTGGGTGGACCTGTCACTAGATACATCCATCCGCTCAGATGAGACCATTTGACTGGGCCATGGTCAGGCCGAGCCTGAGGGTGGGACGTGGGCAGGGCACGCTTTGGAAGAACTCATAGCATATTATATTGAAATAGCCCACGGACTAGGTCCCGGGTTCTAGTCCATCTCTCCTCCTAATGGTGTGTATGAGCTTGGGCCACTCACTTGCCCGCTCCATGCCTCAGTTTCCCTACCTGTTGTAACAAGGGTTGTTACGAAGGCTCCTTATTTTTCATGGCTACAAATCAGGCCGTAGGTAGGAGGTCTTTGGTGTAGGACAGAGGAGCCCCACGAAAAGCCCAGGCCAGGCTGAATGTATGTTTGGGGAATGTCCTGACCCCCGTCCGTCTCACCCCGAGACAGCTGGCCCTGACCCCCTCTCCTCTCGGCCCTAGGATGCGTTGTCCAGTGTGATCAGGAGATCCCAGTTACACTTCATCCACTGCCTGGTGCCGAGCCTCACGGTGGAGAGCAAGGGTGGGAAGGGGGCTCCGACTCCCCCTCAGCCCGATGGGGACAAGCCCGGAGCAGGCGGGCCCCTGCCCGTGGACATCCCAGCACTGCGGGTCCAGCTGTCAGGCTCCTACATCCTGGAGGCTCTGCGTCTGCACAGGACAGGTAAGAGCCGCCGGGGAGTGAGTGCCTGGTCTCTGACCCTGGGACGTGCCCGCCAGCCAGGGGCACCCAGGGGACGAGAGCACCAACGATGTGCCAGGAGCTTTCTGTTGACTCTACCCAGCGGCCCTGGAGGGGGAAGCGATGGTCACCCCCATTTACAGATGAGGAGATAGAAGCTCAGAGAGGTAAAGCGACTTGCTTTAGGTCACACAGCTGGGACATGGCAGAGCCTGGATTTGGACCTAGGTCCCTTTAAATCCAAAGCCCATCTTATTTCTTGAAATCGTTGAGTTCTGCGAGGCTAGGGCTGTGTCTTACTCGTCTTCCTTGCGGCTGCTTTGGGAAGGAGAGCGGGATCCCCCAGTGAGGAATGCTTTGGTTACGATGCTCCGCCTGGTTTGAGATCAGTGTGGACACAGGTGACAGTCACGTGACGTGACCAGGCATTCAGGAGGTACCTGGGTGCCAGAGGAGGAAGCTCTGCTCTCATTGGGGGGACTGGGAAAACTTCCTGCAGGAGGGCACATCTTGGTTGAAACAAAACAAGCGGCTCCGCTCAGGGGAGGGGAGCGTTGGCAGAGGAGCGAGCATATGCAAAGGCAGGGAGGCTGCCCAGCCAGGGTTTACAGGGCTTCCAAGTGGGCGAGGGACTCGTGGGAGATGGGGCGGGTGGATCCATCGGGGAAGGCTGTGACCTCGGTCTTTGGAAGTTTGGTTGTCTCCAGGTCCAGCTGAGGAGATGACAGGGTGGCAGGGGGGACGAGGGGGCTTTAATCAGAGGGCTGAAGTCGTGAAGTCTTACTTTAGGAAGCAAACACGCCCCTGAAGTTCCCACCACTGGCTCATCTTAGGAGCCGAGTTGGCTCTGAATCCTTCTGCTTCTTTTCCGCCTCTCAGACGCCAGAGGCCAGCACATGGATCCCTGTCCCTGCCAGTTAGAGATGCCTCCGGCGCAGGCATCCTCCCTGCAGAAGATGGGGTGGCGGGGGCTGGTGGGGAGCCGAGGTGGACCCCCATTTGTTTAATGTCTCTGTGGTCACTGACACCCCAGTTAGTGGCCGCTGCCCCCATTTATTCCCACCGCGTTAATAATGGAATCCTGGGCACGAGGTATTTGATGGAGCAGCTGGGAGCAGCTGGAAGCAAAGATGAGACCCTCAGTCCCCTGAGCATCTCATTGATTTTCTCTCCTGCCTACATGACCACAGGCGGAGGGAGACAGATAATGTCACGAGATGGGCACAGCTGGGGGCTGATCGATTCTGCCTGGCTGGCTGGCAGGGGGCGCTGGGCCTTCGCAGGAGCCCTCGACTGCCTGCTAGGGCCCTCGTGTGCATGCTCGGGTCAGCTGTCCCTTCCTCAGGCCTCATGTCCTGACTGCGGTGTCTGTCCTCTGCATTCTCATATGCATGCTATTTATCGAGTATGTACATTTTTCTCACCAATTACTAGCCACCTAACCACTGGCTAGTATATAGTAGATGCTCATTAAGTATTCTGTGTCATTGCCCAGCCAGTGTGGCTCAGTGGTTGAGCGTCGACCCATGCACCAAGAGGTCGCTGGTTTGATTCCGGTCAGGACACATGCCCAGGTTGTGGGCCTGATCCCCCTCTCTCCCTCTCCCTTCCTCTCTTTATAAAATCTATAAAAACATTTAAAAAATAATTTAAAATGTTCTGTGTCGTACGTCCTGGAGGGCACAGCTCAGATCCTGGAGGCAGTCGGCCAGGGCTTGCCTGTGGCTAACACCAGCACGTCCCAAGATGCACCTCCTGTTTTCCCTCCCGTAAGAGCTCGGGTCCAGCGTGCAGGGTTTGATGGGTGAATGAAGCACTTAGAAAACCGCCTGGATGTGGGCAGGTACTCAGGACACATGAGCCTCTTTTGCTGTAATCATCATTAGATGCAATCCTTATAGCGACCCTGTGATAACAGATGTTGTCATCTGACACATGAAGGAACTGAGTCCCTAAGACATAGGCTCTTTTGTCTCTGGTCAGAGGGCTAATTAGGGCAGAAATGGGATGTGAACCCAGCTAAGTCTGACCCAAAAGGGTAGGCTTGTAACCTCCCAGCACCGCCCATCTCTGTTCAGTCAGCATCCTTTGAACCCAACTGGAGACCCTCTTCCTCTTCCTCCGGGAAGGCTTCTTGGATTCACCGCCTGCAGGCTGCCGCTCTTCCTCGTGGTTTATGCACTGGGCTTACTGTGGCGCGAAGTCTCAGGGGCGGCGTGAGATGCGAGGGGTTTGTTTGTCTGTTCTATGGAGCCACAGAGGCTCTACCCTGCTCCTTGTACCAGAAAGAAGTCTAAACCTCAAGGTTTGGAATCAGAGTTCGAGTTCCTTTGGCTCCCAGTCTCTGCTCGTCTTTGACCCGTTATGGTCTACTCTCCACTGGCTTGGTTATTGTCGTCTGGGTTTGAATCTGAGCTGTGCGGCTTTGGGCTAGGGGACGACTGGGCCTCAGTTTCCACATCTGGGAAGCAGATATAATAATGTACGGCCCAGAGTGTCTGTAGCATAAGAGGGTTGTCATCCCGGTGTACTGGACACACCGTGCTCAGTGAATGTGGCTGTTGCTGTGACTATGGACCTAACCTGAGGGTTCCCAGCTCCACCTGCCTCGGCCTAGAGCCCCTTCCACACAAATCCTCTGGAAAACTCTTCCAGCTCCGTCACAGGCCAGCTCTCCAGGTGCCTCCTCCCCGCGTCCACGCAGAGGAAGAGTGCAGCCGTGTCCATCCCACATGGTGGATTTACAGGGACTCTTAGGTCCGGTCCGGTGTGGCCTTTCTGCACGAGTCTGAGGGCGATCATAAGTATTAGGCATCAGAAATGTTTTCCATGGCCCAGCAGGCTTGGGAAAACTCTGGGTCAAGCAGAGCTCATCGGGTGTCTTCTTTGCAGAGGTCCCCAGAGCCCTTGACACCGATGCTGGCCCCCATTGTGGCCTCCCAAGAGGTGGATGAGAGCGGCTTCTTCAAGCCGGCCGTGGCGCGTTTTATGAGTTTGTTCTGCAGAGACGTTCGGGAAACGCGGGTTGAACCCCATCTGTTAAGTTAGTGAGTGGGGAAACAGAGGCCCCGAGAAATGAGTCCACATAGCAAGTGAGTAGCCAGGCTGGGCGCCGGGCCCTGGGCCGGTCATCTCACCTGGACTCCTGTTCTCCTGCCTGCCCCACCCAGGCTACGCTGACCACCTGGGGCTCACGCACTTCCGCCGGCGGTTCCAGGTGCTGGACCCCCTGCTCGCGAAGAAGCTCATGCCGGCCGCCGAGGGAATAGACGAGAGGAAGGTATGTGGAGACGGGTGGAGGGCCGGGCGCTGGCCCTGGGGGTTTCTGCTCCACAGGGGACGAGGGGAGGACGCTCAGCCAGCTGGGATCTGAGGGCTGGGGGCAAAGACGAGGGTGGTGGAACTGCGGCCCAGATCCATGCTCGGGACTGCACCCCGGCCTTGTCCCTGAGGACACCACCCATCCCAGACGGCCCTTCTGAGTCCCTCCCTGAGGAAGTGCAGGCAAAGAATCGGCCACCATTTCCCAAGGTTGTTCGGCCCAGCACTAGCACCCTGAGATCGTCTCCGAGAAGAGGGCTTCACTGCCAAAATAGTTCGGAAAGCATTTCATGCTAGAGCCCCCATGTTAAAGAATTAGAGTGAACCATCCGCCTCGGGGCCTTTGCACCAGCTGTTTTCTCTGCCTGGAACACTCATTCCGCCAGCCTTTGTCTGGCCAGGGTCAACTTGCTGTGCCGATCCTGGCTCAGGTGTTACTCTCCCTCACGTCACCTCGTTTTGTTTATTTATTAATTTTAAGAATGCTGGTATTTTTTTTTTTGGTCTTTATTGATTTTTAGAGAGAAAGGAAGGGAGAGGGAGAGAGATAGAAACATTGATGAGAGAGAACATCGACTGGCCGCCTCCTGCATGTCCCCCACTGGAGACCGGGCCCACAGCCTGGGCATGTGCCCTGACCAGGAATAGAACCGGCGACCTCTTGGTGCATGGGTCGACACTCAACCACTGAGCCACACTGGCCGAGGACAGCCCATTTTAGAAGCCACTAACCACTGTTTAAAAAAATCAGTCTTTGTTTGGGGTTCCTTATCCTTTGTTACCCAGCCCCCCAACTTGATCTCTGCTCAGAGCATCAGGAATGGAGCCATCACAAGGGTCCTGGGCTCCTCTGCAGTCGCGAACGCAGCGAAGGGGTGTGGGGGGCTTTCGGCGGTGGCGGTGGGTGTAGCATATGGAAGTGTTTCTATTCTGAACGACTCAGCAGTTCTCTGTTGTCGCCAAAGCGAAACCACCTCCACGCACACTCTGGAGGCCACGGAAAAGTGGAAAATTACAAACAGAATGGACTTGGTGGGAAGTTTTCGCTGTTCCTTATTCTTTTTTCATTTGCTCACAGATTTCATTTGCTGTGGCACCGGATTTTGGTAGCGATGAAAGGGAACAGCATCCTTCCTCTTACGAGAAAGCCAATACATATTCATTGGCCAGGCAACATGATAGGCCATGAATTATGCATGAACATGTGCTCGGGTGGGCAAACTGTCAGCCTGTGTGTGTAAAGCAGTTGAGACCTCAGGATTGCAGAAGACAAGTGTGACAGCCAGAAAAGGTCATTGTTGTCATTGGACGCTAGAGGGCAGCAGAGGGAATTCATCGTCTGGGTGCACAATGGGCCTGGGTGAGGTCCCTGTGGGCCCAACATGTAGCACCTAACCATTGGCTTTTCACACAGGACTGGTTCCCAGTGACGTGCTCTCATCTGCTGGGCACTCACTTGATATTCTGTGTCCCCAAAGCAAGTGCCTTTTACCACATGTGCCCCAGGTCTTATCACAACGTGTCAGGCACAGTGTGAGAAGGTTACGGATCCTTGACCAGGAAACAGCCCTCAAAAGATGACGCCTCCCCACTCTGGGAGTTGTCCCCATTTCACAGCAGTGGCAACTGAGGCTGTCACCCCCCTGGCCGGGTAGTGGCTCTGAACGCAGGCTCTCAGGTTCCTCACACAGGGCTCTTTACGTTTTATTGTGGCAAAGTACACAGCATCAATTGGCCATCTTAAGTTGGGCATCTTTAAGTTTACGGACCAGTGGTTTTAAGAACGTTCATATTGTTTTGTTTTTTATCCTCACCCGAGGACATTTTTGCATTTTTTCAGATAGAACAGGAGGGAGAAGGGAGGAAGAGACAGAGAGAAACATTGATGTGAGAGAGACACATCGACTGGTTGCCACCCACACGACCCCAACTAGGGCCGGAGACAAACTGCAACCGAGGTACGTGCCGTTAGTAAGAACCGAACCTGGGACCCTCTGGTCCGCAGGCCGACGCTCTAACTGCTGAGCCAAACCGGCCAGGGCAGAATGTTCATATTGTTGTGCAGCCGTCACCTCCATCCACCTCCAGAATTCGTTTATCCTGAGACTGCGGCTCTGTCCCCGTTGAGCACTGACTCCCCGCCTAGCAACCAGTGCTCTGCTTTCTGCCTCTGAATCCAGCTCCTCTAGGGACCTCGGATAAGGAACCGGACAGTATTTGTCTTTCTGTGACTGGTCAGTTTCACCTGCATGATGCCCTGAAGGCCATCCCTGTTGTAGCCTGTGTCAGAATGTCCTTCCTTCTGAGGGCTGAATAATATTCCCTGGTGTGGACAGACCACGGCCATCCATCTGCCAGTGGACACTTGGGTTGCTTCCACCAGGTGGTTATTGTGGATAACACCAGTTTGAACGGGGGTGTACACGTATCTGCTGGAGTCCCTGTTTTAATTCTTTTGGGTAGATGCCCAGAAGCAGAATGTCTGGGCCATATTGTCGTCCTCTATTTACTTTTTTGAGGAACCTCCAGACTGTTTCCCACAGCGGCTGTACCACTTTATCTTTCCACCAGCGATGCACAGGACTTCCGGTTCTCCACGTCCTTCCCCATACTTACTTCCTATTGTTTGTTTGTTTTTTTATAAAGGAGTAAATGCTATTCTTTTTTCTTTATTGATTTTAGAGAGGGAGGAAGGAAGAGAGAGAGAGAGAGAGAGAAAAACACCGATGAGAGAGAACACTGATTGGCCGCCTCCTGCATGCCCCCCACTGGGGATCAGGCCCACAACCTGGGCATGTGCCCTGACCGGGAATCGAACCGGCGACCTCTCGGTGCATGGGTCAACGCTCAACCACTGAGCCACGCCGGCCGGGCTTTCCTGTTTGTTTACAGTAGCCATGCTAACGGATGTGAGGTGGCATCTTATTGCGGTTTCCCTGCACCTTTCCCTGTGGCGACAGCAGCAGTTTTCATGCTCACCCCAGACTTTTGAAGGGAAGCTCTGTGAGGACCAGCCGTGTCCGGTGAGGTTCTCCGCAGAATGTGCCACCGTGATGTTAATTTGCTATGATGATTAATTCCACCCAACTTGAGCCAAGTGCCTACTTTGCACCTGGCCCTGTGCAAGGTGCCCGAGATACAGGGATGAACAGAACACAGTCTCACTGGGGCAGAAACACTAACACAAGCAATTTCTGCACAGAGGCTGTGGGACGCCGCAGGGAACGCTCCTAACGCGTTCGGTGTTTTTGGCAGGCATGAGGGTGGGGCGCCCGGGAAGGCACCGCAGAGCAGTGGTGACTGAGTCAAACCTAGAACCTGGCGGGATTGTTCGGAGGAATCAGGGGAGGGGCGTGCTCACTGGGTACCGCTGTGCAAAGACCTGGAGCTGTGATGTCGCACGGCTGGCTTAGCGTAGCTTGAGCATGAAAGGTGCCACGTGTCAAGAAGGGGGCTGAAGATGTTGGCAGGGGCCAGACCATGGGTCTGCGTTAGCAGGGCTACATTTTCCTCAGCGATCCAGGTCGAGAAGAACATGCTTCAGCGATCTGGGCAGTTCAGAGAGCGTAGCTGTTCCGGAGGATGCAGGGCGAGGAAGGCATCACTCGGGAAACCTGGACCATTGCCCCAGATTCCAGCAACCGGCCGGTGGACGAGGATCCCGCGAATACGCGGCCAAGTGAAATCACTGATGTTTCACCCGACAAGTGACAATTTCTAAGAGTAATGTGAACGAGGATAATAATAATAGTAATTAAGTACGAAGCCACGTACAAAGTCATGTTCACAGAGTCTCAGTTATTCATCCCAACAGCGGTACGGCCTGGGTGGGGAATAGTATCACCGTTTCGCAGGGGAGGAGAACGAGGGTCAGAAGGGTAGTCAACACCTGTGGCCACTTGCTCCACCCTTCGCACCTGAACTTGCCTTCTCTGTACGATGAGGCAGCAGAACAGAAGGTGTTTGGTAGACCTAGTGTTTCTGTCTGTGCAGACATCTCAAGGGCTGTCCGAACACAGGGAGAGGGAGAAGGCTCTCTAGTGGGGGTGGGGTGTGTTTTGGCAGCGTTTGGGGTGTACCTGAGAAGTGGAAGCGTAGTCCACAGTCTTCAGTACCTCTACCAGGTTTTGACCACTACACAGTTGGCAGGACCTGCTCGAGGGGGTGTGGACGAGCTCATAATATTTTTTATTTTCTCCTCACCCTAGGACATTTTTGCATTTATCTTCAGACAGAGCAGGAGGGAGAGGGGAGAGAAAAGAGAGAGAGAGAAACATCGATGTGAGAGAGACACATGGAGTGGTTGCCACCCACACGACCCCAACAGGGGCCGGGGACAAAATGCAACCGAGGTACGTGCCCTTAGCGGCAACCGAACCCGGGACTCTCTGGTCTGCGGGCCGACGCCCTAACCGCTGAGCCAAACTGGCCAGGGCTTGCTCATAATATTTCTTAGTGCTTCCGATACGCCTGGTGCTATGCCAAGCCCTCCACAAGCAGAACCCCAGACTCTTCTGAAATAGTGCTATGATTTCACTTCCCAGCCCCATTTTTCTGAAGAGTTGCCTACAGCTCAGATGAATGCTTGGCCAAGGTCACTGAGTTCATGAGTGCTAAAACCAGAATCTCAGCCCAGGTAGCTCTCACACCCGATTCTCTCCCCCTCCCCGCTCCCCCTGACATCTTCTGAGTATTGACTTTAAGGTAGACTTAGAAACGTTTAATTGGCTGTAGGTTTCACTTATTTTTCATCCATTCTACTTTGAGCCCATTTTTATTTTGTTTTCCTCTGTGCAGAGAGAAAAGATGCAACATTTTGGAGATATTGGTTTTATGCATTCCGCGGCCTATAGCTCCCTTGGAACATTTTTGGCTAAAATGTAATAAGTGAAACGACTAAATTCTTGGAGGGGCCCGTTATGAAATGTTCTTGCAGGAGGTCAGAGGAGAGTACTTCCTCCCAGATTTCAGTCTTGGACTAGACTTTTAATAAGCTGCTTTTTGGTATCTTAGGAAGTTTTCCGTGATGCCAATGACCCGTGGAATTGAAACTCATCTCCTAAATTACTGCAGCCGCATAATACCTTTTAGTTCTTGAGGGTCACAATTGCTTTTCTGACAGTTTATTCTGGAAATTGACTCTGTGATGTCCCGTGGGTGGAAGGACCACAGGGGTGGTGTTGGGGTGCAGTGGGAGGGGAATTGGCAGTCACAAGGGAACCGGGCACAGCCTGCATCTCTCTGAGGGTGCGCATCTCTGGCAAGGGTGTTTCAGCCTGCAGTTCTTCACGAAAAGAGGAAAATTCTGTTAAATAGCCAGTGGTTTGGCTAATGCCGCATCCAAGAACCTCTGTGAGTGAATGTGTTTCTCTTGCATGGGTCTGCGTTTCTCCCCCCCGCCGCCCCCTTCCCCCCATCCATCTCTCTTGTTTGGGTCCCCATTCATTCAGTCCTCATGTTTCCGGAGCTCCTCCTGTAGCTCAGAGCAGGAATGCAGTGGAGGAGAGAGCAGAGGAGTTAAACACAGGCTGTCCTTCTACAGTCTGGGTCAGGCACAGAAGGTTAATGGCTAGGTCGTTTATTTAGCAAATATTTTCGGGAGCGAGGCAGTCTCTGATACGCACAATGAAAGACAGAGTGTCGGGGTGACTGTCACCAGGACTCTCGTGACACAGTGGGTGAATTTCCTCATGGCTTAGAGCCCTCTGGGGCCACCCTGGTCACATGAAGCTGTAAGACACAGATGCTGCCACATGGCCAGACAGGCCTCCATTCCAATGCCTTTATTGTGTGCGTGTGTGTGTGTGTTAAAATATGTGTAACACAAACTTGACCACTTGAACCCTTTGTAAAGTGCAGTTCAGTGGTTTAAGCTTGTCCACACTGGTGTGGCACCGTCACCGTGATCGGTCCCCCGAATTCCTTCATCTTGAAAAACTGAAACTGCCCCCATGAAGCGCCTACTCCCCAACCTGCTTCCCTCCAGCCCCCGGCACCCGCCATTCTCCTTTTGTCTCCATCAATCTGGCCACTCCGTATAAGCGCAGCCATGCAGTACTTGTCCGCGACGAGCTTATTTCACTTAGAATTTCCTTCCCCTTTAACACCGATGAACAGTCACTGTACGTGTGCACCCCGTTCTGTTTGGCCATCTGCCAGCGGACACTTGGGTTGCGTCTACCTTTTGGGGAGCAAATATCTATCCAGATCTCTTCTCCCACTTCGTTCGGGTATGTACCTAGAGGTGACATTGCTGGGTCCTATGGTGAATCTATGTTTAATTCTCCGGGGGACCCACCACACTGGTTCCATAGCAGACACATCCATCACTTGGTTTTGTCTCTTTGGTTTTCTCCTCCACAAAGGGGGTGTGAGCGTGTGACGACCCACGGACGGTTGCTTTGAGGGTGAAACGAGATGGTGTCTGTGGAGGTCCCAGAGGCGTGGCGGGCACACAGCAGGTGCTCAGTACATGTTCGTCACCCGTGTGAGGCGGGGCTCTGTGCGCCGAACTCACCGCGTGTGGGGTCTCCCTCTCTCCCAGCCGTGCGGGCAGCCTGGCCTCCGCCTGGGGAGTCTCCTGACCTCTCTCCCCTCCCCTCCCCTCTCTCCCTCCCAGGCGGTGGAGCAGCTCCTGCAGACCCTGGATCTGGAGAAGAAGGCGGTGGCCGTGGGGCACAGCCAAGTGAGTAGAGCTTAGTTCTCACGCCGTTCTGCCCACTGCACCAGGGTCAGATGAGGCCCGTGCATGCCCACTTCAAAGCCCACCACCTCTGTGTGCCCCCTTTTCACCCAACTGAAAACAGGGTCTCCTGTCCCTCCTTCTCACCACGGAGGACGTGTAGCTGTGGCTCCAATAGGGCTAGCATGGGAGTCGGTGTCCAGAGCTGCTGGTCCATATTGGGACAGTCCAATCCAGCATCAGGCTAGCTTAACTTGGGTTCCTCACGGCAACCCATCAGTCCATGGCATGCGGGGTCCCCAGGGACACACGGTCATGGAGGAACCACGGGCGAAGGCAAGGAAGCAGGAATGGGAGAGCCCCACAGGCCAAGAGCCCAGAGCAACAAGGGAGAGTCCTTTGTTCAGGGGATTATGTATTTCCAAATGCTCACGGGCTTGCCGGGGCCACACGCGTTCTGGCCAACCATCTCGGCCCCCAGGTTTGATTGACAGGCAAGTACCTTCCCTGTGCCACTCCAGCTTCACTGGGCATGTGCCTGTCTCCCCTTTGTTGGACCCCTTCCCCCAGCGATCTGCAGGGAATGGACTGGTGGTTCCCTGGGGAGTGTGAAGCTGTAGCTTCCTGGTGAGGCTGCCCAGACGACCATGCTTATGATGTCTGGCCTTCCCTTTGCTACTTTCCTATTATTAATAACTAGCCGATTACAATGGCATCATTAGGATGTCACACTCTGCTTGGGTCTGATAAGCAGCTGGACCCATGGAACGCGAATAATTTAGATTTTTCTTTGTGATCTTCAGCCGCTGGTGTCTTATCAAGGCCTGTGCCGAGGGCCATGACATTTATGAAAAACGTGGGATTCCACATGCAGCGGCCTCCTAGTCGGCCCTACGCTCTTAAAAGGGGAAAAAAAAAATTCAAAATAAGATTCTGCCGAGGCGATGACTTATTCCTGTTCTCTGTATGGTCGTTTCCAATTATCTTTTTAATGAAAGCTTCATGCTTAATCAATAGCGGTTTTGGCAGAAGCAACCGCCTTTTGTAATATATGAACTAGCGCTGTCATCACTTTGATCATTGATTTTTTTTTTTTTATAGCAGCTTTTGGGAATCACTAGCTTGTGAAATTAATACAGTCATTATTGAGGCAATCCGATAGGTAACGAGTCAATCGTGTCTTTATTTCAATGAGGCTAATTGCCTTGGTGTCCCTGGCTGATGCGCAGCGTTCTGCGAGGTGGCGGAGGGTGACGGACAGAGCTAGCAGCGACGGGCGGTGCTGGTTTCCATCCTCCCATCGTGCACGGGTCCTCTGCAGGACTGGCAGAGCCGTCTCTGTTGCAGAAAACACATTGAGGGGAATGAGGACGACATGGAGACCCTGTGTTCCCCCTAGAATTACATTGCAACCCAGCCCCACGCTTCGGACGCGTGTATCATCACGAGTGAGGGCAGGACGCCCCAGGGTGACATCGGGAATGGGTGCAGGAGATGAACGCAAGGTCTCGGGCTCAAGTTGATCACTGGCTATGTGGACCTGAATCAATCACCTGGTCTTTCTGAGCCAATAGACCCCTCAGAGGGTTTGTTCGAGTGTTAGAATGGGACAGAGGAGAAAGAGCTTTGAAAAATGTAAATCCCTGCACATGTTAATTCCATTCAGCAATCATTGTAGTCTTGTCTGGAGGCAGATGGAGGGAAGTAAATCCTGGTGTTGCCCTTCGCTGGAGGAGGATCATGGGGCACTGCCTTTTTTAGCCTCAGTCTGTCCTTCCATCAAATGGGGAGATCACAGTAACTGCCATGTACATGCGTGGCCAGGGGTTCATTCAGATTGTACACAGGAAGGGCTCCATGAAATAGTGACCGTTAGTCGACAGCGTCACTGATTACTTGATACATCACTGGTTAAGGTAGCGCTGTCCAGTGCTCCCGGAGACAGTGAACCCTGGGGTTCGAAGCCCCACCTGGCAGAGAAACGTACAGGGCTGCAATACAAGTAAGCGTAAGGGTACCTGCAGAGTGACCGCTCCCCCACCTCTGGCTCAGACCCCCCCGGGGCATCTTCCCTTTGCCTGGGGAGGTGAGACCATCTTGGCTGGAGCAGGCCTGGCCCCGAAGCGTCAGGTTCCGGCTGTGTGTCCTGTAGTCTACTTGAAGGCAGCCAGGGTGGCCTTGATCACAGTGCCGCAGGGTCTTCATCCGTTATTGATGAGCCAAGGCCTGAAGCCTAGCTCTTTTCTACTAGTTACCTGGGCCCCTTGCATGGGTGGCACCAGCCTGGCGCCATCCTGATGGGGGGGGGGCGGGCGTGGCCCTCACTTGCCTCATATTTTCTGTCCCTTCTTATAAGGTGGGACCAGGTATTTCTAGGGTACCCCTTCTCTCAGATGGCCAGTGGCATTGATAAAAAATGCACATTGCGCCCTGGCCAGTTTGGCTGAGTGGGTTGAGCATCGGCCTGCGGACCAAGGAGTTGCAGGTTCGATACTGGTCACGGGCATGTAACTCAGTTGCAGTTTAGTCCCCGGCCCCGGTTGGGAGGCAACCAATCGGTGTGGCTCTCTCACATCGATGTTTCTCTCTCTCTCTCCCTCTGAGTATCCAGGGGCTAGAGGGAGGGACGAGGAGCCACGAGGCGGCACGATGCCTTGATAATTTAGACTGTCAGTCGAGGGCAGCTGCTAGCACATATTTCAGGTGGATGCAAGAGACTGGGGTCCTAGGGGCGTCTTCCTCCTACCTCAAACGATCTGGTTCGTTGGAGAAGTCACCGGCTGCTTTCTACCCTCGCAGGTTTTCCTGAAGGCGGGCGTGGTCTCCAGGCTTGAGAAGCAGCGAGAGAAGCTGGTGTCCCACAGCATCGTTTTGTTCCAGGCGGCCTGCAAGGGCTTTCTGTCGCGCCAGGAATTCAAGAAGCTGAAGGTATGGGGCATGGCACCTCGTGAACCCGGCAGAGGTGTAAGATCCTGGGAGAGTACCATCTGTGCTGGCCCGGGCGCTGCAATCCACACTTCCCACCTTTGTTCTGTGCACAAACCCCTGTGGGATGTTGGTAACGTGCAGATTCTGATCCAGGGGTCTGGGGTCTGCACAGGGTCTGCACGTCTCTCCTGATGGTGCCAGTGCTGCCCCCCAAATGCACCCAGAGTAGTGAGACTTCGAGCAACCTTTTGCAAGATGTTATGGTTGTTTCCAGGACATTGGCATCGGATTACCAGCGATGCCAGACTAGGTCTACACACCCATGAGGTTGTCCAAGCCTCTGTGCGTCGGTTCATGGTTTCAAGGTGTCCCACCTTTCACGGGCCAGCAGGTAGGGCATGGGCAGGACGCAGCCACTGAGGCCTTGGGACCAAGAGGCCAGTTCAGAGTCCACAGTCCTGAAGCACCATCTTCAGAGATCTCCAGAGACAGAACTTTCTCTCCGTAGTCTGCACAGTGGAGAGAAGGTGGCTCGGCTCTTGAGACAAACAAGACCTGTGTTCGAATCCTGCCTCCACCGCTTAGTGTCCGGGTAAAGGTGAAGTGACATTATGTGCTCTCAGTGGAGCACGTGGCAGGTGGTAACTGCTCCGCAAATACTAGCTGCTATGCATTTAGTACTGTTACTATTAATTACCCCTACTGGCCTGGAGTCTCATCACTTGTGCCTCCAGCTTATGTGAATTTGCAAACTCAAGTATATGCACTTGGCCTAAGCAGAAAAGGCAAGAACATGAACAATTCAATTATTGTGGGCGGTCCCTCTGGCCCACTGCGCTCCAGTAGATCATGGTTTGGGGTGATTTGGAATAGACGTCAATTAAGAGCCTGGTCTCTGTCTGCAGACTGCAGAGGTTCAGACCCCGACTCTGCCACTGAGAAGCTGTGCGACACCGGGCACGGGACTTTAACCTCTCTGTGCCTCAGTTTCCCTATGTGTGAAATGGGTTGCAGTGGGGACAGAGCCGGGGTGTGGAAGATGCTCAGGGCATCCCCTGCACGCAGGAAGGGCCGCACCGCAGTACCTGCCTTGGCTGTAGGGGCGGCGGCGAGAGGAGCGGATTTCTGGCCTATCAGCGTGATTTCCTCCTGTGATAAGAACGAATTAGGTCGGTGGTTCTCAAAGTGCGGTCCCCGGGCCAGCAGCATTCTCTCCGATGGAGGCTTAGTTAGCAACGGGAATTCTTGGCCCTGCCCCAGATCTGAACCCGACTCAGATGTACCGACTACAGAGCCAGCGTCTGCATTCTGAGAAACCATCCCGGAGGTTCTGCTGCGCGCTCAGGTTTGAAAGGCATAGAATTCGTGTTCGATACATTCGAAATGACATCTGTCCCCGAAATATCTACGGACAACGTAGTCACGGCCATGGTTTCCAGTGGGCAGTTTCGGGGATTTCCAGGGATCATCCTGGCCTCGTGTGGTGACTCGCGCACCTAATCCGATTATGAGATGTGGCCCATCGTGTGCTGCTCCATGCTCCTCGTCCTATTATGATTATCAGGTCGTGCGAGATCAGACCGCGGCATAATGCCTGACGCTGAGCCCGACTCCATGCAAGGAGGCGCTTTTAATTTTTTTTTTTATCCTCACCCGAGGATATTTTTCTATTTTTTTTTTTTTTTTTATCCTCACCCGAGGACGTTTTTCCATTTTTTGTTCAGATAGAGTGGGAGGGAGAGAGAGGAAGAGAGAGAGAGAGAGAGAAACATCGATGTGAGAGAGACACATCGAGTGGCTGCCACCCGCACGACCAACCAGGGCCAGGGACAAACTGCAACCGAGGTACGTGCCCTTAGCGGGAACCGAACCCGGGTCTCTCTGTACCGCAGGCCGACGCTCCAACCGCTGAGCCAAACTGGCCAGGGCATTGTACAGATAGAGTGGGAGGGAGAGAGAGGAAGGGAGAGAGAGTGAGAAACATCGACGTGAAGGGACACATCGAGTGGTTGCCACCCGCACGACCCAACCAGGGCCGGGGACAAACTGCAACCAAGTTACATGCCCTTAGCGGGAACCGAACCCGGGTCTCTCCGTACCGCAGGCCGACGCTCTAACCGCTGAGCCAAACTGGCCAGGGCGGCGTTTTTAATTTTTAAGGATCTAATCCTGTCCACCAGGACATGAACCCGTTTCCTCCGTCTATACCTTCTCACTTTCCTTCCCCTTCGCCGGGGGACCCCTCAATCCCCTGTGTCCTTCCCCTGCAGATTCGCCGGCTGGCCTCACAGTGCATCTGGAAGAACGTGGCTGTGTTCCTGGCGGTCAAGGACTGGCCGTGGTGGCGGCTCCTTGGAGCCCTCCGGCCCCTGCTGAGTGCCACCGCCGGGGAGGAGCAGCTGCGCACCAAGGAGGTTGGTCCGCATGCAGGCCGGGCTCTGGTCAGCGTCCCCCTCCCGCACCCCATCCTGGTACTTGCCTCCCGACCCACGACCCACGTCTGAATGTTCCTAAGCTGGGGATGCCCCGCCCACAGCCCTGGCTGCCTCCTTCCAGGTGTCCCTCTGCTGCCATCAGCACAGACCACCGTCCATCTGTGCCCAGCTCCCCTCCAGGCTCAAGGGTGCTGGTTAGAGGCACCATTACTGCCCTTACCCCAAGGAGACTCACTGGTGGAATCTTTGGGTCCTTCATCGCCTTACCTCTCAGAGAGCACCCCCCGTACTCTTCTTTCTGCCTCTTAGCACCCACCTTTGATAGGTAACCAGTTCGATTGATTTTTGGTTTATCCTTCTTGTTCTTTCTTTTTGCAAAAACTAGCAAACACACACACACACACACACACACATCCCTTCTTTCTTACACAAAAAGTAGACTACGACACATACTTTCCTGCGACGTGAGTTTTTCACTTAAAAATATGTTTTGGGAAGCATGCCCTGTCTTTTTTCCTTTTTTAGAGAGAGCTTCCTCATTCCCCTTCATAGCCTCCTACACCTCCTTTGAATGTTTGCTCCGCCATTCGTTTGCCCCGCCCGGTGTGGGTGTGTGGAGGTTGCTCCTAATGGTGGAGCCATAAGCAGGTCTGAGCCACCAGCACGAACGCGGCGTTCGGCCGAGGAACAGCTGGGCACACCCTCGCACTCAGGCGTGCCCGTGTCAGGTCAAGCACGGGGCCCATTCCGAGGATCCGCATTCAGCCCCCGGACTCAGCTGGGGCGAAGCAGACTCGTATGAGCAGAGACGTTGATATTTGGAAATGGAGGAAGAAAGAGAGGGCGGGGGAGAGAAAGAGGGAGAAAGAAAGAGGGAGGGAAGGAGGGAAGAAGGAGAGAAAGGAAAGAGAGTCCCTTGTAGGAACGCGGCACGGGCCTCGTGCTGCTAGGCGGGCTGAGCCTCCCGCTCGTTCCTGGCCGCGCTCCACGCTCCACGCTCCACGCTCCACGCTCCACGCTCCACGCTCCACGCTCCACGCTCCACGCTCCACGCTCCACGCTCCACGCTCCACGCTCCACGCTCCACGCTCCACGCTCCACGCTCCACGCTCCTGCAGCCTAGGCCTCTGGCACCGACCGGCTTCTCGTATGGTTTTATGTTTGCAGGAGGAGCTTACGACGCTGAGACAGAAGCTAGAAAAATTGGAGACGTCTCGGAACGAACTCCGGCAGAACACAGACCAGCTAGAGAGCAAGGTACCCACATCCCTCCTGTGTGAGGTCCCTGTGCAGGCTGTGGTCTGCTGAGGGGGACACCCTGATGCGCCTGGAACGGCACTAAGTGCTTTGCAAGCCCCTCAGAATGACTGTGTGCGGTGCATGCTGTCATTGTCCCCGTTTTGGAGAGGAGGAAACTGAGGCCCAGGGATATGAAGTATCTTCTGGAGGCTACACAACCAGCAAGTGTAGACCTGAGATTCCAACCCATGCCATGTGGCTCCAAAGGGAAGAATTTCTTAAGTCACAGAAGCACAGATGACAAATTTGCCTATTTCAAAGTAGGAAATAAACTTCTGTTTATCAAAGGATAAAATGATGACACATTACATACGTGGAGAAGAAATTTGCAACGTGTATAGCTGGCAAAGAATATCCAGAATAGGTAAAGGACTTCCTCAAATCAGCGGAGAAGGCAACTCACTCCAGTAGGGGGAAAACGGGAAAACAAACAACAGACAAAACAGGCATCTGCAGTGCCCAGGAGTCCAAATGTTTGGGAATCCAATAAATTCACGAAAAGATGCTCAACCTAACCAGCAATAGGGAAATGCAAATTAGCACCTTGCTAGGTACCATTTCACACGTCAGATGGGCAAAATCTGAAGTCTCAGGTAGCCAAGTGTTGGCAAGGGTGTGTAGCTGCAGGAACTTCTACAGGCTGCTGGTGGGAGTGTAAACCGACCTCACATCAGATGACTGACTGCTGCAATTTCTGGCTCCTCCTCCTCTCCGTTCCTCTGCTTCCTTTTCTCCCTGCTCTTCCTCCTTGTTTGGAAATGTTATGTTAAGGTCCAACCTACACGTAAGTGCGCACATCCTGAGGTTACATCCCCACCCATTTTCACAAAGTGAACACACCAATGCAGCCAGCACCCCAACTGAGGTACCTCAATCCCAGCTCCCCGCAAACCCTCCGTCAGGCCCTGTTTCAGCCACTACCCTCCAAGAGTAACCACAATACTGACTTCTAACACCATAGATTCGTTTTCTTCTCTTTTTGAACTTGACCTAAATGCAGTCAAATGTGTCTGGCTTCTTTCCATGTGACATTTATGTTGGTGGCATTTGTTCACATTCTTCTGGATGATTGAGTGTCGTTTATTCTCATTGCTGTATAGTATTCCATGATGTTTATAGACTGCTATTTATCCAGCAAGTGCAGACCTAAGATTCAACCCCATGTCAGCTGGCTCCAAAGGGAAAACATCTACAAACAGCTCACAAAGGCACAAATCTCAGGGGGAAATGATACATTTGATTACTATGAAGTAATACATAAACTAAATGAACATTGGGTTGTTTCCAGTTTTGAACAATTACGACTGCGCATAAGCCTGCTGTGAGCATTCTTGCACATGTCTTTTAATGCAATTAGCACACATTTCTGTCAGGAATGGAATTGCTGGGGTTCAAGTTATTTCTGCGTTCAGTTTTCATAGCGACTGCCAGAATGTTTGCTGAAGCGTTTGTGTCGATTTCCACTCCCGCAGCGGTGGGCGCGAGTTCCGGTTGCTTCACATCCTTAGCCATACCCGGTGGTGTCTTTTTCATTCAGCGATTTGGGAGGATGTACAGCGGTGTCACATTGTGATTTTAATTTACAACCTCTGGGCTGTCGTCTTTGGCCAAGTGATCTCTCAAGTCTTTCCTGTTGTTTCTCTTCTTGACGTGTAGCTGTTCTTTATATATTGCGGACATAAGTTCGGTTGTCAGATGCAGTACGGATCTCTTTTTCCATTCTGAGGCTAGACTTTGTTGATACAGTAATTGGAAGTTACATTTTCTGAAGCCCTTGTGTCTTCAAAACTGCCAAACGGCGAGGAAGAGATCAAAGGGCTCTGGGACTCCCAAACCTGCATTCGTTACAGTGGATGAACTTATCGGTTTCATTCTGTAGGTTATCGATTCTCAGATGCGCGGGATTTCCCACCTGTGTACGTCTCTGGAGCTGGGTGCGTGCTAACAGTCAGTGGAGTCTCCCACCAGGACCACAGCACCTCCTGTTCTGAGGCCACGATTGTGCACCCTCTGATCAATGGCGGTCAGGTCTGGTGCTGTGTAGCATGTGGGCACCCAAGTGGGATTTTATTTGAAGAGAGAACTGATATTCTCCCCTTCCCCAAAAGATACTATTGATGTTTTTAAAATATGGTTTTATTGATTTTTTTTTTAAGAGAGAGAGGAAGGGAGAGAGAGATAGAAACACTGATGTGAGAGAGAGACACCGATTGGCTGCCTCCTGCACGCCCCCACCAGGGATCGAGCTCCCAACCCGGGCATGTGCCCTGACCGAGAACCAAGCTAAAAGGTCTGAGCCGGCGGGAGATCACGTCCACAACGCAAGGCCAGTGTAGAGCAAACAGCTTCATGGTATGCGCCTGGGTGCAGGTGGGCTGAGCCAAGAAGGCGTCCGCTCCAGCCTTCTTTGTTTTCTGGCTTATATAGGCACAGACTATAGAAACTACAAAAAACTACCTTCTCTTGGCGCCGCATAGTGCCAGGGCTGATATGAACTGCTACAGAGGCGAGGGAGGAGTCTGTTGCAGGGGACGAGATGAGCTTGTTACAGAGATCAGGGCAATCATTGATCTCCTTTTTTGTGGTCCCTCCAAGTTTCCCGAGGCCACCATTAACCCCTTATCTTTACGGTTCCTCTGGGTGTCGGTCCCAGGGTTTTTTTTAGAAAACTGCTCAGGTGTTTACGTACAGGAATAACTGGTCAGCACGGAGTTTAATTTTGTTAAAACATTACTGACCGTTTCACAAACTGGGACCTCTCAGTCCCTGGGACGACACTCACTCCACTGAGCCCCGCCGGCTGGGCTGTTGATTTATGTTGACTTATATTGGTCGCTTGGTATTTTAAAGAGATCGGGGTCACTGTCAACCCTGGAGCTTCCCAGGCCCACCTTCTAAGGAGGGCATCTTGCTGGAGGGGTGCCTCACTGTTTCCTTAAGGAGCCTGGAGGCACCCTGATGCGGGCGGTCTGGCTGCAGGAGAGCCGTGGTTCTCGTTCTTAAAAGTGTGCCAGGAACCCCTGGAGCGCGTGTAACAACACAGATTGCTGGGCCCCCACCTCAGAGGTCAGAGTTGGTGGGCTTGGGGAGGCCATGGAGCTTCTCTGTTCCTGATATGTCTCAGGTGCTGCTGAACTAGCTGGTCCGTGGAACCCCCTTTGAGAAGCAGTAGTCTAGGGAACAGACAAAAGGTTCTACTTTCTTTTGGAGACTTTCTGTTAGCAGCTGGGGGAACAGACACCCCTGAAAGGGCCACGCACCATGCAGGCCAGCCTCTGCGCCCACCCCCTGGTCTCAGTGGGAGGGGGAACTGAACCGTGCATACAAACTTCCCTGAAACTCGTTGTGCCTCCTCATAGGAAACTCAGTGTGACTAGGCTTATGCAAAAAACAACATTATTGCAAAATGATTTAAGTGCTTCATTTGCAAAGGAGCAGAGAGGAGACGAGGAGCCCGGGAGAAGCTGGCTATAAATATTCCTCAAGCGTGCAAAGTCGGCCTGGATGCAAAGCGGGCTTTCTGTTTGCCCAGAGGAGCAGGCTTGTCTTCTGGCAAGGACGGCGGACGAGGGAGGCGGACGAGGGAGGCGGACGAGGGAGGCGGACGAGGGAGGCGTGCCTCCTTCCCTCTCGGGAATGTACCTGAGGCTTCTCCCGAGAACTCGTTCACGGTGCAGGGCTGAGTGACACCTGTGCACGCCAGTGTCTGCCCTCGTTAGCCTGAGCAGTGGCCCTTTTGGGGGAGGAATTACTGAGAGCTGCCAGGATCCCCAGGGACTGCAGATTTAGGTGGGAAAGCTCATTTGCACAGCGTCCAGGGAGCTGGGTGCAGATGGCTGTGAGTGTGGTTAGGAGCTCGTGTCTCCCATGGGGAGGGAAGTGGGCTTGGCGAGTGCCAGGGTCACGAGGTCAAGTGGTTACGGAGCCTCGATCACTTCCCAGGTCTTCTGACTCCTAGTCCCATGCTTGGCCACAGCACGGCACCTCCGAGGGGACAGATGGGTCCTCCCTAGTCCCCGGGGGAATGAGACAGCCCGGTTTCCTGTGTGGCTCGGGATGTCAGGCTCTCTTGGGCCTGAGCTGCTGGGGCGTGCTGGGAGGGGTCATCTCCCACAGAAGGGCGCGGAGGCTCGATGACCATCAAGTGGGTGTGTTCATAGATGACCACCATAGAGTTAGCTAAGGCCCCACAGAGGAGAGCACAGCTGGCATGTTCCTTCTGCGTGCCTCAGTTTCCCCATAGAAAAATTGGGGCCGTCGTCTCTTTTTCTACCTACCTCGCAACACAGAAGAGCTGGGAACTGGACAAGGTCAGGGAGGGGTGCGACGGGCGGCCCGAGCTGGTATACCTGGTACCGGAGCGGAGGGTCCATCAGGACAGCTGGCCTTGTGCCTTTCCTGCGATGGCATTGTGGGAAAATTCCTCAGGTTCCCAGGCCTTTGCGTCATCAGTAAAATGGTGACAGGAATAGTCACGAACCCTTCTCCCTAGGATTGCGGTGAGAAGGTGCATATAAAGCAGTTACTACACATTTCAGGCCTTCACATCACCACTATTGGGAATATGTGTTGCAACTCTTACCTCCCTCGCCCCAAGGGACTGAGCTCCTTAAGAGAGAATGATACATGTTAGCCATTTCTCTACCTTGCAAAGCCTTCCATGGGAATCAATGGATGAGTGGGATAATGCTGAATTTAATAAAGTAACATGTAATGAGCAATGTGTCTGTGCCAGGGGCTGTGATCAATCCTTTACCCACATTATCTAGTTTTACCTTCAGGTCGGACCGTGAGGAGAGTGTTAGCACCTCCATGTTTCCACGAGGAAAGTGAAGCTCAGAGAGGTAAAACGACTTGCCCAACATCACACAGCTGCTGAGTGGCAGAGTTGGGATTTGAACCCAGGTCTGGCTGATTCCCAACAGGCGGTGATAAAGAGGAGCATCTACCCAGACTGG